ACCTCTTGCACTCCCCCTCCCATGCCCTCATGCCCACGCCTGCAGGTCAACTTTGATGCCACGCGTGCTCTGCTGCAGGCGTGCAGGGCGGCAGGCCACTGCCCTCGCCTCATCATGGCCTCCTCTGTCGCTGTCTTTGGCGCTCCCTCCTCCAACTCCTCCAACTCCCAGGTGCACTGTCTGTCTTTTTTCTGCGCTGCGCTCGCGTGTTGGCACCACCACACTACGAAATTCTCGCGCGATAAAGACGAGATTGTTAGATGTGGATGTTGGATTGGGCTTCATACACGTTAACACCCTCAGTGACCCCCCTTAAACCCCCAGTGGACTCCACCCTTCATGCTCACTCAGCTTATTGCTTCTTCTTCTGCTTGTGCTTCCCTGTCCCTTGTGCTTGCTGTTTGCTTCTGCCGGTGCTGCATGGCTGCAGGTTCCATACTCTGAGGACACCCCTGCTCTGCCCCGCTCCTCCTATGGGGCTGAGGTAAACCCGCCGCTGCCCGTGCCAATCAACTCCATCTCCACTTCTCCCACTCTCTACACCTCTGTCAACTCCTCTCCTAGCACTTTCTGTGCCTTCCCGAATCCCAGGAACTTCGTGATTTTCCCTGCAGCCCCCCCACCCTAAACCCCCCACCTTACTTACCCTCTTCCTCACATGTCCGCTCTTCTTTCTTTCCCGCGTCCCAAACCCGTGCGTTTCCTCTCTATATCTCTCCGTCCCCTTCCCGCCCCTCTCTCTCTTTTCGTGTGTCTCTCGTGTGTCTCTCCCCCCAATCCTCTCAAGAGCAGAAGGCAATGGCAGAGCTGCTGCTAACAGACGGCAGCAGGCGGGGCTTTGCTTTTTGAGTCGACTCAAAAGCAGACTCTCTTGGCGTGTGTGTCTCATGGCCCCTCTCTCCCCCCCTCAATCCCCTCAAGAGCAGAAGGCCATGGCAGAGCTGCTGCTATCAGACGGCAGCAGGCGGGGCTTTGTAGATGCCATTGTGCTGCGCCTTCCCACTGTTGTCGTGCGACCTGGCAGGTACCTCACATTTACGCATGGATACATGCACACACCCACCCACCCACCCACTCACAACACACCCTCACACAGACACACACACACACACACACACACACACACACACACACACACACACACACACACACACACCCATGTTCCTCGACCGACCCGCGCACAGCTATCATCCCTTCACAGCCCGCCCACAGCAGGCCTTACCCCATGATTCAGCTATGAATGACTCGCAGCCTCCTGCCTCCCTCGCAGCACGAGCAGATGCGCACTCGTACTGCTCTCTTTCACGGCCCTGCCATCCCGTACTCGTTCTCGCTGTCCCTGATTTCCCATGCTGCAGCTGCAACCAAGAGGAAGTCAGCCATACGCCGCCTCTCACCGGCGATTTCTTCCCCTGCGCGTGTGCGTCCATGTGCATGTGTGCGCTTGCGTGTGCGTATGTGTGTGCGTGTGCCTGTGCCTGTGCCTGTGCCTGTGCCTGTGCCTGTGCCTGTGCCTGTGCCTGTGCCTGTGCCTGTGCCTGTGCCTGTCCCTGTGCCTGTGCATGTGCATGTGCCGGTGCCTGTGCGTGTGCGTGTGCATGTGCCTGTGCATGTGCGTGGGCCTGTGCATGTGCGTGTGCCTGTGCATGTGCGTGTGCCTGTGCATGTGCGTGTGCCTGTGCATGTGCGTGTGCCTGTGCCTGTGCATGTGCATGTGCCTGTACATGTGCCTGTGCATGTGCCTGTGCCTGTGCGTGTGCGTGTGCGTGTGCGTGTGCCTGTGCCTGTGCGTGTGCCTGTGCATGTGCGTGGGCCTGTGCATGTGCGTGTGCCTGTGCATGTGCGTGTGCCTGTGCATGTGCGTGTGCCTGTGCATGTGCATATGCCTGTGCATGTGCGTGTGCCTGTGCATGTGCATGTGCTTGTGCATGTGCCTGTGCATGTGCCTGTGCCTGTGCATGTGCATGTGCCTGTGCATGTGCCTGTGCATGTGCCTGTGCATGTGCCTGTGCCTGTGCATGTGCGTGTGCCTGTGCCTGTGCCTGTCCCTGTGCCTGTGCGTGTGCGTGTGCCTGTGCCTGTGCCTGTGCCTGTGCATGCCTGTGCATGTGCCTGTGCCTGTGCATGTGCGTGTGCGTGTGCCTGTGCGTGTGCGTGTGCCTGTGCCTATGCCTGTGCGTGTGCCTGTGCCTGTGCATGGCAGTCCCAATGCAGCGACGTCCTCCTTCTGCTCATCCATCGTCCGAGAGCCTCTGCACGGAAAGCCAGCCACCTGTCCCGTCGACCCCGCCCTACCACTCTGGCTGCAGGTATCACTTTTGCCAAGTCCCATTGAAGAGTGATGAACTTTTTTCCAAAGTGATACAGGAAAGACCAACGACAAGCCAGCCACCTGCCCCATGGATGGCCGACATGCCGGCCACCTGCCCCATGGATGGAATGGACCCTGCCCTTCCACTCTGGCTGCACTGCAGGTAAAGCAGCACCTGCCAGGTGCTGTGACCCAGCCCAGCCAGCACCCTGTGTCTGCTCCGCTGAATGGCAAGCCAGCACCCTCCTCTCTGCGCTGCTGAATGTGCTGTGCTGGTGTAACGAAGCTCACAGTTATACGCATCCACATTACCCCCACAGCTTCATCTCTCAGACATTTCCATGTATATGTAACCCTGCTCTGTGCTGTGTGGTGTGAGCATGCATGTATCCCGCCCGCACTGTCATCAGCAGCATCCTCCATCCATCCATACTGCCACAAATACCAAACCGCCCACATGTACATGTATGTATCACTCCTGCTCCGTTCTGTGTTGTGCGCGTGTGTGTGCATGCGTGCAGTCCCCCCGCACAGTCATCAGCAACATCCTCCATGCGGCCCGCCTGCCGTCCCTGCCACCCAACCACCCACGCATCATCACCCTTCCCGGCCTCACTGTCAGTGCCTCCCTCCACTCCACTCCCATGCACAGTAACTATTGAGCCGACTGAAAGTTAAAAGAAGCCACCATGCCACCCAATGCACCACCATCCCTCTGCTCCCTTCTCTCCTCTTCCCGTTCTCTGACCGAATTGCAATATTCAGAATGTGAGCCCACACTTGTGACCTGTACTTTTGGCGAGTGGCAACACTGACACATACACCCATGGCAATCATCAGTCCCTAACGGACACCAATATGGGCGTGGTCATGTCACGGACCAGCCAACGCTAAAGAAGATCGAGTACTTTGAATTCCTCTGTGCCTCGTCTTGTGTGTTCCTCGTGTGTGCATCTCTCTCTCTCTCTCTCTCTCTCTCTCTCTCTCTCTCTCTCTCTCTCTCTCTCTCTCTCTCTCTCTCTCTCTCTCTCTCTCTCTCTCCCCGGCTATGCACAGACCAGCGCAGCAGAGCTCGTGGATCAGCTGCCACGCTTTGGAGTCGATCCCTCCCTGGTCAGCCGCTTGCTTGCCTCCTTACTTGCCTGCTAGATCTGCCTCGATACTTCCACAATTTTGCTCTCTCATATGCTACTGCAATTTTAACTCCTCTCATATCCTAACCTTGTTGCAGTCTGCCTGTGGTGAGCCGGTTCCATGGGGTGCGGAAAACATGCCACATTACATAACATGCGATCATGTGCTTCTGAGACGTGCGCGTGGTATCTCTCTGCAGATTGTTTCTTCACATGATATGTGGCGTGTGGGGTGTTGCGGATTTGGCATATGGGTTTTGGAACTTGTGTCGTGGCGCATGGCATGTGTCGTGTGCAGGTGCAATGGGTGCCAGATCCTTTCATCAACAGCATAGTGGCATCATGGCCAGGCCACATACACACGCCCACAGCAATCCAACTGGGCTTCAAAGCAGACACGTAACTAACTCATCGTGCCCTCCCTTCACGACCTGCACTCTTGATTTTCAACTCACCATGAGCCTTGTCCTGCCAAACTGCCATCTTGTCTGCTTTCCCTCTTTCCACTGACCTACCCCCATTCCTCCACTCCATTTGCCCCTTCTTCCCCTCGCTTCTCCCTACCTCACGCACGGCACATTAGGAGACATATTCAGAACCATCGGTCTCCTGCACACATGCAGTGTCCTCATGTTCATCTCTCCTTGCCTCTGCTCCCTCCCGACCCGCCGCTTCCCAAACCCCCACACACTGCTTTTGTTGCTGCCTCTGCCCTTTGCCTTGTGCTGCATTTGACTCTCTCCCAGCGATGTTGCGTCCTTGGTAGAGGAGTATGTGCAGGAGTATGTTAAACCTGTGCAGTGACGACCATTCCTGCATGTGGTGTAACGTGTACACAAGTGCTTCAAAGAGAATGCGACGTAAGGTAGCACAAGTGAATGATAATGTTTTGACTTTCGAGCCTCCGCAAAGGCTGTATTGATATGTCAGGCAGACCGCTCTGGGTCAACAGCCCAGTTTACGGTAACAGGGTTTATGATTTCTGTAATCAATAATGCGTTAGGAGTTGGATTGAAACTTGATCATGGCAAAGATATCTAGCAAGCCTTGGAGCAGCCTCAGCAGAACCACATACCGTAATGTGCCACATCCATTGTGTTGTGATTATTTATCTGCTGGCCGTTTCCAGGGAGCAGGCTCTAGACATCCATGCTGTAGCAGTATCATAATGTGTACTAGCATGTTCATCACATCCAATAAATAGAAAGCACCCTTTACAAAAACATCCCATATTTCTAGCACTAGTCTGCTCTCCTCTATCTAACCCTAGGCCCAATAGATCGGCAGCAGACTACCGTATTACGAAGGTGGGGCAGAGTAAGGTAAGGTCCAACAAGTACGGTAGCAGCAGAGGAGAACGCACGTGTAGCACACCGATACCGTAGGACAGATAACCGGACCAGTAGTACTGGTAATAGGGTATACCATACATACACACACCATACAGAATCCAGTGGAAAAAGCACAGGACAGGACCCTGCCTGCCTTCATCCATGCTGGGCCACTAAACAACATACGAAAATGTAGTTTCTCTTTGCCTGTGCAGGGCTTCACTTTCAAATGTTCCGAGGTGATGATCCTGCTAGGAGGGCAAATAAAACACGGATTGGTGACGGGGAAAACGAGCGAGAGCTCACATCCGAACGGCATGCGAAATGAAAGCAGGATTGTGCATATGCATGGATGGAGATGGCAGGAGGAATGGAGCATGAGAGTTGGGACTTGCATTCACATGTGGAGGTGGAGTGAAGAGTGAGAATGGTCGTGGGAGACAACAATCAGTTGCACAACAGATGTAGGCAATAATATCAGAGGAAAGAAATGGCGCATAAGGTGTGTGTGTGTCCGCAGGTGTGCATGAATATGCAAATGCGCGATTGTGTGCAGTGTGCATGTGAGCACGAGTGCATGCGTGCATGTGTGCATGCATGCATGTGTGTCTGACCTGAGGCACCCACGGAGCGCCAGATGGAAGCAGCACTCCTCTCCATCACCTCCCTCACCTCCTCCGCGTTCTGTCACGCACGCACACATGCACGCACCACATGACGCACACACCAAAACATCTCGACACGCTTTCATCACATGACAGCGAAGCAACGTCATGGCAGACGGCGTCACATGAAATGACACGACGTGACATGGTGTGACGAGAGTTGACGAAACGTGCAATTAATGACAGGCAACGACGAGCCATCGGAAAGATAAAATTTAGGACGTCTCAAAAACATAATATTCTATCACGTGAGCCGAGCTGACAACACGTGCAAATTAAATTCCTCAAACCCCATGACCTTTCTTCCTCCTCCCGTGTGTCCTCCCAAGCCCATACTGACATCGCATTGCTTCACCAGCTGCGCTCGCTTGGGCATGGCCCACCCCCACAGCCGGCACGCCACGTTCACCGCCCGCGACTTCTGCTCATTGCTCAAATGCCCTGGGAAGGGGGGGGCGCCAAGCCGGTGTCGGGGGAGGGGAAGGAAAGGAGGGGAGGGCATGGGGGGACAGGAGAGAGAAAGAGTCACTCACAGCATGGTGAGTGATCGTGAGGAGCATCTAAGCAACCAGCACCGACACATGTTTTGTGATGTCTCAAAAGCCGTTCGACGACTGTCCCCACACACAATCACACTCACAGTGATCGATCCTGGTGCGCATCTGCACTGCAGAACCAGCACCAACTCAGCAGTCACCAAAGAGACTCTCAGTCATCGGACAGAGTTATAATCTGCGCCACCAGCAGCGGCAGCACATCCCTTCAACCCCACTCCACACACACACTCACAGTCATCGGTCATGGTGAGTATCTGCGCCACCAGCGCTGGCACGTCCGCGAGGGGCCACTTGCGCGAGTCAGCCACAGTGGCAGCGAGGCGGGACGCAATAGCGAGCGACAGATCAGGCTTCTCCTCGTCCAGCGGATACACTATCTCCAGCAGCGCCGCTGGGCGCATGGCGGGGGACGTGGAGTCCGGGAGCGCGAGCAGCAGCCCCCGTAGACCCCAGTCGAAGACTTCCAGGTCTAGTGGGTCCGCACAGGAGCCTTCCTCGTCTATGGCCTGGGGGAGTGCGACGGTGGGGAGGTTGGGAGGGGTGGGGACGGGTAGGGAGGGTAGGGGAATTGGGGTACAAGGGTGGTGGGCTGGGGTTGCGGATGAAACGAGGGAGAAGCGGGCATTGGCGTGGAGATAGACGAGAGGGTTTCTGAGCCCGCTGGAAAAATTGAGCACTTGCGAATGAGCAGCACAGCCGCTTGTGCGAATCCATGAGACGTGCGCGCACGCACCTCGTATGTGTGCATGAGCGATTTCACGTGCATGGACTCGAGCAGCAGCGGCAGGTGCAGCTCCGTCTCTATGTTCCGCCCAATGCGCAGCCACACAGCCCACCCCACCTCCGTCGCCGGCTCCACCATCCTCTCTATCACCTCGATCGCCCGCTCCTCACCGCCTCCCACCTCGCCTCCTCCCGCACCCGCAGCAGCCGCCGCTGCAGCAGCAGCAGCAGCGCCACTCCCCAGCCAGCGGTTGAGCATCACCAGCGCGCTCAGCTCCTTCTCCCTCCAGTCAACCACGACGTTGCCCATTCGAGACACGCCCAGGGCACCGCCGGCTGCTCCGGGCCCGCCGAGCAAGCCCCGGGAGTGCATGCGGAGAAAGTTGAGCGTCACTTCGTACGCCCACGGGTGGCAGAGTTTCATGTCGGTGCATCGCAGCATGGCGTCTGCTAGCTCTGCTACATACGATGCTGGCCTGTCCCGCCTGCTCACCCCGCTGCTGCTGCGATCCATCCCCATGCTGCTGCTCGTGCTCATGCCGCTGCTGCTGCGCTCGATCCCGGCGCCACCAACAGCACCAGGACCATTGCCAGGCCCACCACCACCACCACCACCACCTCCCGCTCCTCCTCCTCCCCCTCCCCCTCCCCCACTCCCTCCTCCGCCTCCCCCTTCCACAGTGGCAATATGCGCAGTCTTCACCGTACTAGCAAGCCGGGCGAATCTCGCGTTAACCGACTCCGCGCCACTGCCCTGAAACACCATGCGGATCACATGGTCAAACCCATCGGCCGCCAGCCGGCCAGACGCCACCGCACACAGCACCACATGGAACGCCGCTTCCTCCAATCCCAGCGACTCCATATGCAGAGCGAGAGAGACGAGATCGTCCGGGTGTAAATGCTTCATCTCCCTCATCTCTGCAGCGAGGTTCATGGCTAGAACGCCCGGGCCAAGACCCAGGCTGTAGTAGAGCCTGTCTATCTCCTCGCATCGCTCCGAGAGATTGCTGTGCTTCGCCCGCGCGATACCCTCTGCTAGAGCCACCTCGGCGAGACTTGCTAGACGCATAGGCTGCCAGGGCTTCTGGGTTCGGTGGCTGGGGAGGAGGAGGTTGGGGCGTGGCGGGGAGGAGACGGAGGTGAGCGGATGGTGCGTGGACGCAGGGTTGGTTGGGGAGGTTGGGGAGCCGGCAGAAGGGAGGGGGTGTTGCGGGTGGGAGAGCGTTCGGTCGTGGCATGCTGTGAGGACGGCCTTAAGGCAGGAGAGGATGAAGGCTCGGCAGGCCGGGAGATTGGAAGGTACCCTGACGTTGAGCACTCGGCCAAAGCTGGGAAGTTCTGGGGCAGAGGAGAGGAGAGATGTGCTGGCGACAGTGGATGATTGGAGATAGGAGGATGTGTGGGGGGATGAGGAGAGGGAGGATGGCACGAGTGTGGAGAGCGGTGGGGAGGAGGCAGAGGCGGAGGCGGAGGGGGGCAGGGGAGGCATGGAGGAGGATGTGGGGTTGGAGGAGGTGGAGGTTCTGGAGCTGAAGAAAGGGGATGAGGGACGGGGGAAAGCAACAGGGAAGGACAGGAGACTGTGCTTCGCATGTGGCTGCTGCTGCTGCTGCTGCTGCTGCTGCTGCGGCTGTTGCTGCTGCTGCTGCCCTGCCCCTGCCCCTGCCCCAGCACCAGCACCATATCCTCCTCCCCCGCCCATACCCCCCACACCTTCAAAAGGCCCAGAATTGGAAACCGCTCGGCGACGAGTCCACCCAGGCGACCCAGGCTGACTCCCGCCACTTGCACTACCTCCTGCCGCTCCTGCCGCCGCCCCCACTCCTCCTCCTCCTCCACCACCATCACCACCACCACCCAGCAGACCCCCCATGTTCCCCGACCCAGCCAAGCCAGACGCACGGGCCGGCGGTGTGAGCGAGCGAGACGACGCTGCTCTGGCCTGCAAGCCGAAGTTGCCGCTGCCCTCGCGGCCCAGCACCCCAGAGCCCTCCCGGAAGAGGGACCCTTCTCGCGGCCACGCGAAGTTGTTAGCGAGGAGTTCAAAGCGAGCAATGCGGTGCAGCAGGCGCAGCAGACACATGCACGCCGTGGCAGGCTGCCACGAGCTGATTGCTGCTCCTAGCCCGGCCACCAGGAGAATATCATCATGGGAACATGTGGCTGGTTGCGGCGGCCCTGTGCCTAGCGCCTCTGCTAGGAGCCTGGCTTGCAGACTCCCTTCCGGCCCCCATCCCTTGCCCACCCCTGCCCCGTGTCCTGCTGCTGCTGCTGAGAAGTCTCCTGCGCTGCCGGCGTCAGCAGCGCCTGCTGCTGATCCTGCTGTGCTGCCCGCATTGCTGCGTCGTCTTGAATGGTGTTGCTCATGCCTGCTGCTGCTGTTGCTCAGGGATTCGCGTTCCTGCCTGCCCGTGCCGCCGGCACCGCCGTCGTATGAGAAGCGGTACAACCCGTGACCCTCCCTTTCCCGCTCCCGTTCTCTCTCCCTCCTCCTGTCCTTCTCCCACTCCCTCTCCCTCTCACGCACCCTGTCTCTCTCCCTATCCCGCTCCCGCTCCCTCTCCCTAGGTCTTTCCCTATCCCTTTCTCTATCCCTCTCCCTATCCCGCTCCCGCTCTCTCCAGGGAGAGCTAGAGCCACTACCCAAGGGATCTCTCAAAGGAGACGCACCAGCAGAGTCAGGAAACCGAGGAGACAGGAACCCGCCCACGCTGCTCCCCCCTCCACTCACACTGTCTCTCTCTCTATCCCTAGTCGCCTGCTCCTCCTCCTCCTCTTCCTCCACCACCCACTGCGGCTTCACCTCGCCCCACTGCTCCCAGTACTTGAGCCACACAGCCAGCCCTGCCACAAACACCTCCCCCACATGCGCCTCGCTGAGCTTCTCCGCACTGTCCGCCACTCCTCTGAACTTCCGCCGCACCCATTCATACTCCCGCACGGCTTCGGTGGCGGACCAGTGCCGGCTGCGGCGGCGGTGCGTGATGCGAGTGACGCACACGGGCGCCGCATCCGACCACGACCGATCCGACAGAGAAGACACCGGCCCCGCTCGGCTGCGAGAGGACGACGCAGACGACCCCCCACCTCCCCCACCCCCACCCCCCTCCCCCACCCCCACCCCCTCCCCCACCTCCTCCTGCTCTCGATCCATACGGGACGATGCACTCATCCTCATCGTCATCATCCATACTGAATGCATGCGGGCCTGGACCGCCAGGCATGAGCGACACGGCATCATCATCATCATCCTGCCCCGCCAAACGCTGCAGCATCATCTCGAGATACTGCATGAACAGCCACGACCAGTGGTCGCGGCACTGCTGCGCGCGCCGCCGCGCCGCCGCCACAGGTCCAAACTCCCTGTGCAGCGCGCGGGCGGCCACAGCAGGAGCACCGTGCGCGTGGCCATGCCCATGCCCGTGCGCGTGGGCGATTTCTGGGCGGCGCATGATGGAGAGCGTGCGCACATAGAGCAGCTCTGGAGGCATGTCCTCGTCTATGGGATCATGGATGTCATGGTCATGGTCATGGTCATAGTCATGGTCATGACTTACAGCACCTACACCTACACCATGCAGGTCTAGGTCTAGGTCCTCGTGGTCGTGGCTGTGGCTGTGGCTGTGGCTGTGGCTGTGGCTGTGGCTGTGGCTGTAGCTGTGGGGGCTTGCTTCATCTGTATCTATGTACCCCTCCTCCTCTTCCTGCTCCTCCTCAGAGTGCGCGCCGCCATACAGGCGCCTGGAACCGCCTACCCGTTCACCCACCACACCCCTTCGCCTTCTCTCCGCATGCCCTCCCCTGCTCCCCTTGCCAACCTGTGAGTGCCCATGCTTGCGGCTATGCACCCCCCCATGACTCCTCCCATGCCCCCTCCCATGCACACGCGCGTGTCTGCTTGCACCAGGAGACACCCCATGCTCCTCCCCGTCCACCTCCACCTCCTCACTCCAAACCTCGTCCTCATCTGTAATATCATTCCCATGCCCAGGCTTTCTGAACCCAACTCCTCCCTTCCCACGCGCCACCACCCTTCCTCCCCTCTTCCTCCTCACCCGCCCCGCTCCCACCACCCTTGTACCACCCAAATCCGACTCACTCCCCTCCTCATGCCCCTCCTCCTCTCCCTCCCCCTCTGTAGAATACTCTTCCTCCCCTTCCGAGTACATCCCATCACTGTACTCCGAATCGAACTCAGCATCGCCGCTCACAGACCCGCCATCCTCACTCATGAGCTCTTCCTCACTGTCACTAATCAACTCCTCCTCTCCATCAAGCAACATGTCATCCTCCTCCTCCCCATCAACATACTCACCCTCTGACTCATCCTCATAAATATCCTCCTCCTCGTCCTCGTCCTCCTCCTCTTCTCCCTCCTCCTCCCCCACGAGATTCCTGGCAGGCCCTCTGATCCCCTCCTGTCTCAGCAGCAGCACCTGTGGGCTCGAAGATTCGCCATCACCCTCATCCTTCTCTGCTCCCGCCTCACCACTCTCCATACTAACTTCCACGCCAACACTCACCTGCTGCCCCTCCTCCACCTGTCCCTTCTTTCCTCCCTCTCCTGCCTCTCCTCCCTCTCCTCCCTCTTCTCCCTTCTCCCCCTGTCCATCCTCATCCACCACTCCTCCCTTCAACCCCTCCCTTAAATCATCAGCAACACCATCCTCACCACCCATGCTGCTGTCTACACCCACCACACCCACCACACCCACCTCTACCTCCACCTCTCCTTCTCTTTCTATCTCCACCTCGATCTCTATCCTCTTCGCCATCGTTTCACCATTCTCTCCACTCACAAGAGCGTTCACTCCGCTGCTTCTTCCTCCTCCTGCCCCAACCTCTTCCATCCCCTTGCTACTGCTCTCACCCTGCTCCTGCTCCTGCTCCTCCCCCTCCTCCACCCTACGTGGCCCCCCGTCTGCCCTCCCCATCCCGCTGCCTTCCGCTTCCTCATCTACTCCGTCCTTCTCAGCAGCAGAAGCGGCAGCAGCAGCACTTTCTGTCTGCGCTTCAGCAGGCAGACGCGCGCCATTTCTCTCGTCCCCAACAACCTCCTTCTCGACTCCCCTCTCGCCTGCACAAAGTTCTTCATCCACCCCTAACCCTGTGTCTGCCTCTACCTCTCCTTCTGCCCCTCCCTCTGCCCCTGCCACTGCCCCTCCATCTGCCTCTGCCTCTGCCCCTACGCCTGTCCTTTCCACAACCTCCAAGTTAGTCTGCACAAGCATTGCAGGCACGCCTTCAAGCCCCGTTTCTCCCTCTGCATTCCCTCCCTCTTCCTTCCCTTCCACGCCTTTCCCTCCCTCCTCCCCTGCGTCCCCCTCCCCAGCTTCACGGCTACCCCCATTCATACCCAGCCCCACCTCCCCCATCATCTCCCTCACACCATTTTCACGCCCCTCTTGCACCTCCACCACTACCCCGTCACCACTCTCTGCCTCCACACACCGCTCTGCACCTGCTGCTGCAGCAGGCATGGGCAGTGGGGGAAAAACGATGGCAGCAGGAGGAGTGGTGGGGAAGGAGAAGGGGGTTGGTGCAGAGACACAGGAATCATCACCTTCTCCTGCTGCTGCTACCCCTGCTACCCCTGCTGCTTCTGCTGCCCCTGCTGCCTCTGCCGCCGCTGCTGTTTCCACTGGCACTCTGATTTCTGCCTTCTCCTCACCTTCTGCAACTACTGCCATGGGCGGACCAGGAGCAGAGGGGGGCGGCAACGCAGCAACAGCGGCATCAAGAGCGGCAGCAGAAGGGGAGGAGGAAGCGGGGGTGTGTGGGATGATGCGAGGAGACAAGGGAGGCAAGCCATGTGCAGCCCCATCAACCCCTGAACCCCCGCTGCCGAACCCACTACCCACACTACCAGGCCCAACCTGCCCCTCCTCCACCATCACCCTCGACCGGCTCCTCTCCCTCCTCCTCTGCCTCTGCTCCCGCCGCTCATTCGCTTCCGCGCCGCTGAGAGCAGCAGCAGCCGCGGCAGAGGCGGCAGCATTGGGCGCGCTTTTGGGCCCTCCTCCCTGCGCCCACGCCTCGCTGTGGTGCTTGGGCGGTATATGCAGCATGTCTGGTCGCACGCGAGACTTGGACCGCCTATGCGAGTGCGACCGCTCTGCCACCTTCCCCTCCCCTCCTGCCTTCCCATCCCCTCCTCCTCCTCCTCCTCCTCCTCCTCCGCCTCCTTTCCCCGTTCCCTCCCCTTTTTCCTTCCCCTCGCCCTCCTTCTCTCCGCCCACCATCCCTCCCTTGCCACCACGCGGGCTCGTAGCACCCAGAGCCGAAAGTCCTGCCCCTCCACCCTCCCCCCACGCCAGCACTCCTGCCAGGTCCGCGCCTGACCGCGACTTGCTGCGGTGCCGCTGGTGCCTGCGCGCCGCAACACTCCCACCTGCCCCCCCTGCTCCCCCTACCGCCCCTGCCGCCGCCGCCGCCGCTGCTGCTGCCGCCGCAGCCCCTTCCCCGCCAGAGCCTCTGGGACTACGCGCGGGGCGGGGGGAAGGCGCAACCCACGCATGCGCACCAGAACGGGGGGAAAAGAGGATGGCAGACGGTGTGCTCGGGATGCTACCGCTGGGCGTGTTGGGGACAGTAAGCGGGGTAAGCACTTGATCAAGGGTGAATTCCCCTGAGCCACAGAAGGCGGCGGAGGAGGAGGCGTCAACGGAAGCCAGAGCAGCGTCTACAGCTAGCAGCGAGTCTGAGTCGAGGAGAGAAGGGGACATCACTGCTCGCGCTAGCAGCTCTCCGCTCGCTGCTGCTCGTGACCTGCTGCGACCCAGTCTCCGCTCCCTGCGAAATGAAGCTGCAGCGGCAGCCGCTGTGCCTGCAGCTGCTGCCCCTGCTGCCCCTGCACCGGCAGCAGCCAGACCACCAAAGGAGCCTGCTTCCAACCCGACGCCTTCTAGCCCTCTCTCCCAGCTAACAGTCCTGCCCGAATCCACCCTGTCCGTTCCTCCCAGCCCTCCCTCCCCCACGGCCACCTGTAACCCCTGCCCCTCGCCCCCTTCATGCTGCTGCTGCGTGCCGCGCTGCTCTGGTGCCGCACTGTCAGCAGCACGCGCCCCCGCTTGCTCCCCATCTCCTCTTCCCTCTGCTGCTACTCCCGGGGAAGAATCCGCACCAGCAGCAGCAGTCACAGCAGCACCACCAGCAGTAGCGGCAGTATCATGTGGTTTGAGCCAGCTAGACGCGCCCACTGCTCGCCCCAGCACCATATGTGGAGTACTATCGGATACAGACACCGGCACCCCACCTCCCGCGCCTCTCCCTGCGTCTGCGCCATCCCCACCGGGGCTGTCACCACCACCAGGCGACCTATTCAGCTCCTTCTTCCCGCCCGTGCTGCTCCGACGAGCCACCCTCCTGCCGCTGCTGCTGCTCGGCCTCACACACGCAACAACGCCCGCCGCACTCCCTCCTCCCTCCCCTCCTCCAACCTGCTGCTGCTGCCTGCGCGATTCCCGCCCGAACATGCGCGAGGCTCCCCCGAGCAGCCCCGCGGCCGTGGGGGAAACGAGGTCCCAGTCCAGCAGCGACTTCCGCCTGCCCCTGCCCTCCGCGCCGAGCGGAGTGAGAAGCGGCGAGGGCGTGGACAGCGGGGACGACGCTGGGACCGCCCCTGGGCCCTCCGCGCTCGATACACTCGGCACCTTTCCGCCTGCCCCTCCCGAATTAACAGGGCTAGCGAGAGGGCTGGGGGTGCGCGGGAGCAGGGTCTTCTTTGCGGCTTCCTTCCGCCTGTCCAGGGAGAAGGAGAACGATGCGCCCATGAAGCCCCTGGGGCTCGCAGTGGCGGCGTCTGCGGTCTGCGGACGTACTAATGCTGTTGCTGCCATTGTGATTGTACCTGCAGTTTCTGCTGTCGCCTGCTGCTGCCGCTGCGTCTGACCCTGCGCGCCTCTGCTTCCGCTACTCCGCATCTTCCCCACGGGAGACTTTAGCGTCGATGATTTGGAGGGTCTAGCCTCGCTGCTCTCCGCACCCACCCCCATGTCTTCCCCACTGTAACACATCTCCCCGCTGGTAACCCCACTTCCGGAGCCAGATGCGGAGGATCCGACAGAGCGCCGAAGCGCGTTGAACTTCCACATACCCTTTTTAAGCGCCGCTGCCACCCCGCCTCGCGCGTGCCCGTCCACCGGGGAGAGCACAACGGGGGAAAGCATCTGCTCCGGCGTCACATCGCCCGCGCTCGCGCCTGCGGCGGGGGGAGTTCTTCCGCCGTCCGCGGTTGCGCCTGGGGAGTCGAGCGCGGCGGGGGGTGGGAAATCGGTGGTGGAGGACTTGCGGAAGAGCCCGTGGAAGCGGGAGGCGGTGCGTGGGGTGTGATGCGGCGTGTGATGCTGGGAATGCGCCTGCGCGTCATTGCCTTGCGTGGATTGCGAGCCGTGTTGCTCAGGAGTGGTGGCATTAATAGCCGCAGTAGTAGTAGTAGTAGTAGTAGCAGCAGCAGTGGTGGTATTAGCGGGCTCGGCGCGCTTGTGAGGGTCGCTGCTGCCGTCATGCGAGACCAGCAGCGCGAGCTTGCGGCTCTTACTGTTGTACCACTTGCGAAATGTCGCGTCCGTGCCCTCGCCTTCGTCGCGATCGCGATGCGACGACCCATGCTGCTGCTCCTGCTCCTGCTGCTGCTGCGACGAAGGTTCTACCGACGTTCCTTTGCCTTTGCCGTGGTGCTTCTTTCCCCCATCCAGGCTTCTCCGCCTCTCCTTTCCATGCTTCTCCTTGCCGCTGCTGCTCTTCTCCTTGCCGCTGCTCTTCTCCTTCCGAGGCGGGTCGGGAGACGACTTCCCGACCACCGCACTCTCACCGCGAATCTCGGCGAGCATTGCGGCTGGCTCGAGAAGGGAACCCGGGGCAGGGATTATGGAGCAGGGAGCAGACGTGCGGTCTCAGCTCTGAGTGCTCAACGGTGGTTCGCGAGGCAGACTGCACGCGGGCAGCCGAAGGCTGGATCGAAACGGTCAAAGGGCTCATGGACAGCGTATGCCAAGCGGTAGTGCAGACTCGCCGGCATACGCGGTTTTTTTGGAATGTCTATCAAATGCTATGCGAAGACATGGAGAGATTCAGCGGCTCGCAACGTCTAGCATTGCCAACGAACGACATTTCCATAAATGTTGAGAGACGTGGCTTTGATGAACGGAGGCGGAACGAACGCCGCTGCTGGCGTGGCTGCAGTGCTGACGGGAAGACTGCTCGAAAGACTGCTTGCTCTCCTCGCTGTTTTTGTGTTGGGGGTGTTGATGTAGGCGTATCAGCATGAGAAGCAGCATAGGACTGCAGCCATGAAAATGAGCACACACGCAGCAAACCCTAACCAATGAATGGTTGTTATGGTTTGGAAATGGATGGATCCAAGGTTCACGACGGTGTACATACATCATTCTTGCTCGCACAACTGCTGCTCATAACGACAACTCCGCTCGCACATCACGAAATGAGGTCGTGGGATGGAGGAACTAAGGACGCGGCACCTGTTTTCATTCTACAAGGATCGTGGCTTCACATCGATCCTGGCATATCGATCGGCACACCGATGTGCCCACACTGCAATTTTGCAGTGGGGTAGACACATCGAGCTGAAGGTGCCAGGTTCGAAAATGCAGGCTCGGGAGGTTGGAGCTGCCATTACACTTAAACGCGCAGCCAATCAGGGAAGAGCGTGGATGGTCGTGCAGCAATTCCATTCGCAGCGACTCGAGAATTTTCCTGCGACCGTGGGCGACGCCGATCGATCGAGGCTGTCACCTGTGGCGCGATATGCTCTCCCGCCAAACCTAACACATGCACCACGGCACATCGATCGTGCGAGCTGCAGGTGCCACCAATTTGGGTACCCGTTTACTGTACCCTCTCGACGCTCAGCGAAAAACGGCTACCAAGCATTGGCGATGTCGCCAATACACTGTACAAGCGGCACATCGATCCCCTCCCACGATCGATCCTGGCAAAATGAAAACAGGTGCCGCGTCCTAACCTATACAAAATTCTAGCATCAAATACTATGATTCATAATAGGCTATTCTAGCACCAATTCCTGGGCTGGAAAATCTTATAAGGTCCATCATGTGTAATCATTAATATACATTGTAGTGATTTTTTTTTCTTGTCATGCCTGTTCACATCTATAATATATCGAAGGAGGGAAATAATAAGTCTATTATGATGCTTATTTATATAGAAAAACTCAAACAACATGTGTTAGTGGTGGAATGCATTTAAGTAACACAGAAATACAACGAAATATTACAAATATTACATTTGGGTTCAGAGGATCGCAACATGCCACATTCCAGCGCTGAGGCGGAGGCTTGGGCTGTGCTTGTAACGGAGATATCTGGATGAGAATGAATTATTGCCCCTGGCACGTGTTTGACGAATTCGTTGCACTCGACACGCAGCAAATGCCAAATTCCCCTTTCCACGTCAATGTTGGATGAAGACGAGCATTGAGAGGATTGGAGAGGATAACATGGCGCTGCTCTCTAATGTAATTGAAATTCAGCACATTGCGGGGGGAATAAAACGTGACAGCATCTTTCCTTCCGCTGACAGCACGAGCTACACTCTTTGCATGTGAATATGAATGTCACGGCGGCCTCCCCACTCTAGTAGACATAGCGCTGAGTATCTCGCCGAATGAGACCGTGAGGCTATACAACAGCTGGCAGAGCATGATGGAAGGAGCAGCATTACTAATTTCAGCGGAGCACCATGGGTCCGAAGAGTCCCTGCGAAACGGCTTTTGGAAATCAAATGGTGGCTCACGGAGCGAGGCTGAAGCACGGAGCGAGGCTGAAGCACGGAGCGGCGAGGCTGCTCCAGTTGCGCCTGGCACTCCCATGAGCACCATCACGGCTCCTCATCTCCAGCCTGAACACCTAGGGAACTCCGAAACTGACGTGGCAGCATGGAATTCGTCGCCCGTGCCCTCCGCCGGCCGTCAGTCGCAGCGGTTGCGGGAGGTCGGGCGCGTGCACTGGCGGGCGGGGCGCGACGGACTGGCGGGAACCCGGGTGGAGTTTGGCGGAGTGGCGCTGACGCTGGGAGCGACACGCGTGGAGGAAGACAAAATGGGGGAAGAAGGTTCCGGAAGGGAAGGGAGGGGAAGGGGAAGGGGAGGGGGAAGGGGAAGGGAAGCGCGAAGTGGAATGGGAGGGGGAACGGGAACGGGAGGGGGAAGGGGAATGGGAGAGGGAAGGGGAAAGGGAGAGGGAAGGGGAAGGGGAGAGGAAAGGGGAAGGGGAGAGGGAAGGGGAGAGGGAAGGGGAAGGGGAGAGGGAAGGGAGGGAAGGGGAAGGGGAGAGGGAAGGGGAAGTGGAGAGGGAAGGGGAAGGGGAGAGGGAAGGGGAAGGGGAAGGGGAGAGGGAAGGGGAATGGGAGATGAAAGGGGAAGTGGAGAAGGAAGGGGGAGGGGAAAGGGAAGAGGAAGGGGAGAGGGAAGGGGAAGTGGAGAGGGAAGGGGAAGGGGAGAGGGGAGGGGAAGGGGAGGGGGAAGGGGAAGGGGAGGGGGAAGGGAAAGTGGAGCGGGAAGGGGAAGGGGAGAGGGAAGGGGAAGTGGAGAGGGAAGGGGAAGTGGAGAGGGAAGGGGAAGGGGAGAGGGAAGGGGAAGGGGAGAGGGAAGGGGAAGGGGAGAGGGGAGGGGAAGGGGAGAGGGAAGGGGAATGGGAGAGGGAAGGGGAATGGGAGAGGGGAGGGGAAGGGGAGAGGGAAGGGGAATGGGAGAGGGAAGGGGAATGGGAGAGGGGAGGGGAAGGGGAGAGGGAAGGGGAATGGGAGAGGGGAGGGGAAGGGGACGAGGGAAGCGATCGTTGGCACTACTGATGGGTGAAAGGAGTGATATGGGAGGAAGAAGTATGCGTCAAAGGGTGGGTGAAGTGGATGTGGTGGGTAGGATGGGCGAGGAGGGCGAAGAGGGTGAGAGTGCAGTGACGAGGAACGATGGGGGCCACGTGCATGTTGCAGCAGCAGCAGCAACAACAGGGGCAGGAGCAGGAGAAGCAGCAGCAGCAGCAGGTGCAGGGGCAGGGACAGCTGTGGCGGAGTGCCAGTCTATCGCTGAGTGGGTGTTGAGATGGGGGGGGACTAGTGTGCGGAAGAGGAGGAAGAGCGCGTGTGAGGAGGCAGTGACAGTGTTGGTTGCTGATGCTGGTGGTGATGCGACCTTAACGACTGTGGTCGCAATGGTTTCCACTCATGCATGCACATTCGAGGGTATGGTTCATATTCCTGCCCCTCCTGCTGCCCCTCCTGCTGCCCCTCCTGCTGCCCCTCCTGCTGCCCCTCCTGCTGCCCCTCCTGCTGCCCCTCCTGCTGTCCCTCCTGCCGCTGCTGCTTTAAGCGCAGCTGCAGCTGGCGACAGCATCGCCATTGAGGCAGTCGCGGATGGTACAGCTGGCATGGAAGTGGTTAGCTCGCATGGAGGAGATGGCTGTCTAGGCGACGATGGTGATGGCATGGAGCGCAATGGAATTGACCTGGAGCCAGGGGGGTGTGAAGGGAGTGGGGAGGCGGAAGTGAGGGAGGCGGAATTGAGGGAGGCGGAATTGAGGGAGGTGGAATTGAGGGAGGTGGAATTGAGGGAGGTGGAATTGAAGGAGGCGGAATTGAGGGAGGCGGAATTGAGGGAGGCGGAATTGAGGGAGGCGGAATTGAGGGAGGTGGGTGGAAGTCTGGGAGGAGGAGTTGGGTCATGGCAAGATGAGGGTCAGAATGCAAGGGGTTTTGAAGAAGTAGCTTCCACTCCTGTTGGCCTGTCTTCCAGCCAGCCTATTGTGACAAGCTCAAATGTACATGCCCATGCGCATGTACATGCCCATGCGCATGGATATGATAATGCTGAACCTTTGACACAGAAAGGCCATGCACACGCCTCCTCCCCCACCCGCCCACCTGCCATCCCGCACTTACCCCATCCCATGCCACCTCCGTCCACTCCCTTGCCTGCGGCATCATCGCCTCTTGTGTCACCTTCGACTAGCCCCGATTCTCTCCATACCACAGTCCCCCTTGCCGCCTCCACTTCGCCTACTCCTCCGCACACTCCTTCTATTTCCTCTATTGCTCCTATCCCTCCTGCTTCTAATATTTCTCCTACGGCTCCTATATCTCCTAATTTTTCTATGCCGTCCCTACTTTCCCGTCCACCACCTTCGGCTCCCCTCATGCAACCACCAGCACCGCACGCCCACCCACCTTCACCCTTTTCAAGCCCATCTGCACCGCTGCCTCGCCCAGCTGTGCTGCACTCGCTCTCACCGCACAGCAGCAGCAGCAGCGGCAGAGGCTCGTTGGACCTGAACCTGCCGCCGTCTGCTGCAGACAGCACTGACTCGTCATGGCTCCATGCTCCTAAAGGCAAGCGCAGGAACCGGAGCAAGGGGCAAGACGGCTGCAACGGCTGCATGGGCGGGCTGTCCTCCCCTTCACCCATGCACCACCCTCCTCCTGCTTCTCCTGCTCCTCGTGCTCCTCCTGCTCCTCCTGCTCCTCCTGCTCCTCCTGCTCCTCCTTCCCTGCATGCATCTCCTGCCTGTGCTGCGCTCTCTCCCGCTCCTGCTGCGTCCCCCTTCCACACAGCGGAGCATCATGCCAACTCTCCTCCTCCTCACAACACCCCCACTCCCCATTTGTCCACGCCCACCCATCACAGCTCTCCTTTCTCTCCACCCACTTTCCCTGCTACTCCTCCATCACTCCTTCCTCGCCCCTCTGCCACTTGCTTCTCCCCCTCGACCACTCGCATGTCTTCCTTCTCTCTCCCACCTGCTGTCATCGGCTCCCCTTTTCGTCCTCTCAGGATCAGTCACCTTCTCTTCCCTTCTCCCACCACCGCCCCCGCTGCAACTGCCGCCCCCACTGCCCCCACCACTGCCACTGCCACCGCTGTTTCCACCACCAACCCTTGGGCCTCTGCTGCCGCTTGCGTCACCAAATCAGCTCTTCCAACGTGGAACAACAGAGATGCGCATGCAGGGGACTGCCCTGTGACTAGCTCGTGTGCTGCTGCTGCCCCTGCTGCTGGTTCTGCTGGTGCTGCGAATGTGGGAGTAAGTATAGGAATTTGTGCTTTGGATGATGAGGGTGCGTTGGAGAATGTGCCGCTAGCCATACGTTGGCTGTCACAGCAGGGCAGAAAACGTGGGGGGTGCGATGGGGAGGAGGACGAGAGTGAAGGGGAGAAGGGGAAGGAAGGCGATGAGATGGAGGTGGAGAGCGAGGAGGGGGAGGAGAGCAGCAGAGAAGAAGAGGTACTGGGGAATGGCAGTGCTGGCGAGGAGGCAGAAGCAGCTAATGGAAACGGCAAGTCGACTCAGAAGCACAGATCACAACGGCAAGGGCGGAAGGCAGGAGAAGGAGGCGGAAGAGGAAAAGGGGATGGAGTGGGGACGGAGGGCGAGAAGGGGAAGGACGAGAAAGGGGGGGTTCAAGGGCGTGGGGGGGACTTGGAGAACGTGGGAGGCGATGGGAACGGGAAGGAAGGCAAAGGGAGGCTGAAGAGGAAGCGGCACCCACGGCCTAAAGTGGTGCGGGATGGTGGGATGGCTGGGGGAGGTGCAGGGGGGGTTGCAGGGGGGGGTGCAGGGGGGGAAAGAGGAGGAGGAGGAGGAGGAGGAGGACAAAGTGCTGGGAAGAAAAAGGGTGACGCTGGGAACGGGAGCGTGAGGAATGGGGCTGGTGGAACGGGGGGTAATGAAGGCTCGGGTGGGGTGGTTGGTGGGAAGAAGAAAGTTGGGAAAGGGAAGAAGGGTCAGGTAGCGGCAAGGGAATCAGGGGATGTAGAGAAAGGGGGCAGAGGAGGGAATGGAGGGGATGGGGCAGTGCGTGTTGGAGTGAAGGGGGATGGTGCATGCGGTGACGGAGTAGGATATAAGGGAGTGGCAGCAGTAGCTTCTGCTGCTGCTGCTGCTGCTGCTGCCGCCGCCGCCGCCGCTGCTGCTGCTGCCGCTGCCGCCGCCGCTGCCGCTGCCGCTGCCGCCGCCGCTGCCGCTGCCGCTGCCGCTGCCGCTGCTGCTGCCGCTGCCGCTGCCACTGCCGCTGCCGCTTCTGCTTCTGATGCTGCCGCCGGTGCTGCTGCTACCTCTGGCGATGCCGCAGTGGATGGCCATTCGCTCCGTCCACCCCTGCATCCTTCCGCACCACTCCCCGCTTCTGCATCCGTACACCTGCAGCATTCACAACAACAGGTGCTGCAGCTGTCGCAGCAGCAGGTTTTCCCGCCGTCACAGCAGCAAGTGTCGCAGCAGCTAGTATCGCAGCAGCCAGTATCGCAGCAGCAGCAGCAGGGGTGGCAGCAAGTCGTGGTCTCAAGGCAGCTGATGCCACAAGTCGTGGCAGCATTGAAAGAGAGCGTAGCAACCTCATTCACCACACAGTATGATCCACCAATCCTTGCATCGTTGCAAGGCCCAATCCGCATTCCTGCGAACCTGTTGTTGATCCCATCCCACATGCCCTCTACACCCCCCTGTGCCACAGTCGGGCAGAACACTGCTTGCACTGCTCACACTGCTCGCACCGCTCATGCTCGCACTGCTTGCACAGCTTACAAAACTCGTACAAATGGTACAGATTGTACAGGTAGAACATATTGTACACATTGTGCAGATGGTATACAACCTACATCAACCCTTGCTCTTCGTCCCACACTCGCCGCCACGCGCACTCGTGCCAATAGCTCTCCTCTCCCACCCGCACCACCCCCTGTGCTCTCTTGCACTCTCGCCTCTCCTGGTGTCCATCATCCTGTTGCTGCCTCTCAGGCCTCCGCCCCTCTTCACTCTTTTCCTTCCGCAAACTCAAATGCCCTGTACCAGATTCCTGCCGCTTCAATCCCTACCGCTGATCCCCCTCTTATCCGCTGCAGCCCTCCAACAGCACACCAGCCACTCGATTCTCCACTCCTTTCCCCATTCCCTTCTGCTTCCGTTTCCTGTCAGTCCCCTCCAATTGCTTCCCCTGCGGCCTCTCTACATCCTCCACCAAGGCGAGAGCTCTTCTCCTCCTCCACATCCACCTCTATCCAAAAGCTTCCGTCCAAGACCACTTGGCCTTGCCCCCGCACCCTTGAAGGCCCCTCCACACCTCTTCTCTTGCCGTCACGGCTTCCTCCCGTCGCCCTTGCTCCCCAGAACGCCCCTCCCTCCCCAGCTTCGCCATTCATGCTTAACTCGCTTATTCCTCCTGGCCCTGCACCATCTCTCACCTCACCACCTCGCCCTGTCCTTTATTCCCGCCCAGAACTGTTCACGTTAACTCCTCCTCCTCTTCTTCCTGAACCTCATGCTCCCTCAGTGCTAACTATCCCTCTCGCTCTCCCCCTGCCATCACCACTGCCTGTGCTTTCACATAGCCTTGCGCTTACCTCAACAGGTCAATCCTTCCCCTCAAACCCACTCCTCCCTTTACACCTCCCTTCACACCTCCCTTCACATCTCCCTGCACACCTCACCGTGGAACCTCTGCCTGCTGCAATGGCTGCCCGTGCAGTAGCAGCAGCACATCCCCAGCTGCATCAACCAGCACCAGCAGCACTGGCACTGACTCACGCAGTGCAAGACTCTTCTGAGGCGCCTCAAAACTCTGCCCGTGCACGAGCAGCAGCACATCCTCACCTGCACCAGCAACCAGCACCAGCAGCAGTGGCTCACGCAGTGCAAGACTCATTTGAGGCGCCTCAAAACTCTTCCCGTGCACGAGCAGCAGCAAATCCTCGGTTGCATCAATCCGCACCACTAGTAGTGACTCGAGCGGTGCAGAACACCCCAACAGCACCAGCGCGAGGCAGCAAGGCGATGACAGTGCCTGACAATCTGACATGGGTGGGAGAGCGGTTGAGAGTGATTGAGAGGGTGGAAGTTGGCAGAGAGGTCAGACCCTCAGTTCCTGTGACTGGTGCCGTGATTGGTAAGGTAGGGATGAGGGAAGGGAGGCACATGGGCGATGGGATGATGCAATCAGGAAGCCGACTGCAGGTGGTAGGTCAGGTGCGAGTGGCACCAGGACAAGGTGTGCAAGTGGGTCCTTCCGCTGCTGCTGCTGCTGCCGCTGCTGCTGTTGGTGTTCCTGCTGTTTCTCCTGCTGCAGTACCTCCTGCTATTGCTGCCACCCCGGCTGCACATGTGCAAGCTCTCTCACCCAAAACGCCAGCACCCCAAGCATCAAAACCACAGGCAGCTGCAGCAGCAGCAAGGGCAGCAGCAACAGCAACAGCAGCAGCAGCGGCGGCGGCAGCAGCATCCCCTACTCCTGCGTGCATGCAGCTAGCAGTGCGAGCAACCCTACCCATGCAGCCTACCCGGAGCAAGGCCAAGCCCGGCAAGGGCAAACCCGACAAACACACACGCCCAAGAGTGCAGTTCGACTCAGAGACAGAAGGGCAGAGGGGCGGCAAGGCGGTGCCGGTGGGCATGCTGGAGTGGGCTGAGGCGCTGGAGGGGCCGGAGAAGGACAAGTGGAGCGAGGCGCAGCGGCAGCTAAGGGAGAACGTGGATGTGTTCATCCGGCGCATGCGCTTCGTGCAAGGTCGGTGGGTGGGTGGGTGGGTGGGTAGTTGGGTGGGTGGGTGGGTGAGTGGGTGGGTGGTTGGGTGGGTGGGTGGGTGAGTGGGTGGGTGGTTGGGTGAGTGGGTGGGTGGTTGGGTGAGGGGGTGGGTGGTTGGGTGAGTGGGTGGGTGGGAGACTTGGGAGGTCAAATCATCAGTCGACTCAAAAGTCACAGCGACAGCTGCGGGAGAACGTGGATGTGTTCATTCGGCGCATGCGCTTCGTGCAAGGTCGGTGTTCCAGTAGGAGGGTGGGTGGGAGGGGGGGGTGGTGGATGGAAAGTGAGGAGGAGGTTGTTGAGGGCGGGGCGTGGATGTGTTCAGTCAGCACGTGCGCTTTGTGCAAGGTCGGTGGGCGGATAGTGGGAGGGCGGGCCGCGGGACGGTTGGTGGAGGGGTTTGTTCCTTGTTTTAGTCGTTGTTAACGACAAGAGTTCGAGCTTTTCAGAATCTCGGTTTTGATGGTTTTTTTTAGCTTTACAAGTCTTTCCTACTTGCGTAAACCATCTTCTTAGCAGCACAGCTCACTGGAATTATGTCAGAGGATTTTCTTGAGTTCCTCGCTGAAGAGCGTAACTCACGCCCATTTCTTGGCATCTTGCGTGTGTGTGTGCGTGCAGGTGACCGGCGGTTCAGCCCATGGGGAGGGTCCGTGCTGGACTCAGTTATAGGGGCGTTTCTCACTCAGAACGTCAGCGACCATGCCAGCAGGTGCGACCATGCCAGCAGGTGCGACCATGCCAGCAGGTGCGACCATGCCAGCAGGTGCCACCATGCCAGCAGGTGCGACCATGCCAGCAGGTGCCACCATGCCAGCAGGTGCGACCATGCCAGCAGGTGCCACCATGCCAGCAGGTGCCACCATGCCAGCAGGTGCGACTATGTCTCCCCATCCTCTGCCTCGCCTCTCTGTGCTCCTTTGCTCTGCCCTGCAACAATCGGTCACTCAAACACATTCTCCGAATCCTCAAACAATCTCTCAAGGGTACTCATACCCGTTTTCTTGGCTCCTGCTCACCTTCATCAACCCTTCATCAACCCTTCATCAACCCTTCATCAACTTCTACCCGTCCTCTTCGCCCCATTACGTCATATATTATACCACCCACCACCGCAGCTCTGCCTTCATGCTCTTGGCGTCTCGCTTCCCCCCCAAGAGGCCCAATGGAGACCAAAAGGGTATGCCAACACCAGCTCAACACACGGATGGTCCTCAGAAGCCTGCTGCTGCTTCTTTTGAGGCGCCTCAAAAGAAGCCTGCTGCTGCTGCTTCCCAGCAGCCTGCGCCCAGCAATCAGCCTGGAGCAGCAGCTGCCTCTGCACCTGGTGCTACAGCTGCCTCAACGCCTGGCGCTACAGCTGCCTCTGCACGTAGCGCTATAGGGAAGGAGAGAGGGGATGGTGGCGGGAACGCAGGAGAGACCGCAGGGAAGGATGTGGGGTTTCTGGCTGCACTGTGCTCTGCTGTGGGGCAGCTATCTCTGAAAGACAGAGCTCCGGCCCCTCACTCTGACCAGCGTCACAAGGTTCCCAGTCCGCTGTGCGGCGCTGATACCATGTTAGCAGCACATGGGGCAGGAGCTGGGGAGCACGGGCAAACCGAAGGGGGTGAAGCAGGGAAGGAGAGAGGAGTCGGGGAATGTGGACGGACGGAGGAAAGGGAGAGTGGAAGGGGAGAGGAGGGTAGTGGAGGGAAGCAGGTGGGCAGGGAAGGAATGGAATGTGTGCCGCAGTTGCAGGATGGAAGAGATGGCAAGGGCGACGGGGATGGTTGCCGGCTAGGTGAACGAGGCGATGCAGTGAAGACTGGAGCTGTGAAGATGAAGACATTGGTTGAAGTGCTGGCACAAGGGGAAGACTCGGTGATTCGAGGGCAGCACGGGGTGCCGGAGATTGTTGAGAATCCTCCAAACGCTCCTGCAGATGCAGATGAAGCAGTGAAGGTGAAGCCATTGGTTGAAGTGCTGTCACAAGGCAAAGACACAGTGAACCCAGGGCAGCAAGGCGTGCTGGAACTGGAAGAAGGTAGCAAGGGCACGTGGACTGCACTTGAATACACCGCACGGGCAGTGCGAGAGGAGAAGGCTGGTGGATTTAAGGTGTCTGGTGGGAAAAAGGGGGCGCTGCAGCAGCAGCAGCAGGAGCAGCGGGTGCGGGAGTGGGAGGAGATGCGGCAGCAGGTGCTGGTGAGGATGAGGAGGGAGGAGAGGCGGAGGGAGAGCGAGAGGAGGGAGGCGGAGGAGTATGGGATGCGGTTTGAGGAGGTGCCGTGTGTGCGCGTGGTGGAAGTGGTGGAGTTGGTGGGAGGGGAGGGTGTGGTGGGGGATGATGAGACACGCTTGGTTGTTGGAGAAGTGGAAGGCATGGAAGGAGTGGGAGGAGTGAGAGGAGTGGATGTGGGAGGACTGGTAGGAGTGGGAATGGAGATGGATGGAGAGGGAATTGGTGATGTGACGAGATTGGAAGGGGGTGATGAGGTTAGGGCAAGACTGGAAGGTACAGAAAAATTAAGTTCGAGTCTGCTCTCTGTTATTTCCCCTGCTACTGGTGCCAATGCTGCTGGTGATGGTGATGGTGATTGTGGTGCTGGTGCTGGTGCTGATGCTGATGTCGATGCTGCTGGTGGTGGTGATGCTGCTGCTGCTGCTGCTGCTGCTGCTGCTGCTGCTGCTGCTGGTGCTGCTGGTGGCGACAGTGACACAAACATGGGTGATCGCAAGTTTACAGACCACCCACAGCAGGCACATCACATTGCAAGTGACAGTACCCTACTGGGAGCAGCCGTGATTGGGCTGACTGGTGGGGCGTCAGGGGGAGGGAAGGAGGTGCAGGAGTGTGTGGACTGGCATGCGGTGTCGCAGACAGATGTTGTGTCGCTGGCTCGCATCATTGCCGATAGAGGCATGTCTGCCATGCTGGCCGGAAGGATCAAGGTAGGCTGGAATCACTTTTTGAAAGCTCTCAAAAGGGAAGTAGGGAGGTGCACGAGTGTGTGGACTGGCATGCAGTGTCGCAGACAGATGTGGTGATGCTGGCTGGCGTCATTGCAGACAGAGGCATGTCTGCCATGCTGGCCGGACGAATCAAGGTAGGCTACGCTCGGATCATGAGCACATTCCCAACATTCTCAACAATCCGCCACCAGGTGCCTCCTGCTAGTTATCCTCTCGATTTACGACAGTACCACCCACCACAACCCATCCTTTAAAATGCCATTGCTTCTGCACGCTGAGTCCTGTCCGCTGGTCATTACTTGTATAACCCATGTTTGAGGGCCCCATCATCCCCACCCCTCCCTTCCCATCCCATCCTCCTTTTCACCCATCAACAGGCTCTCCTGACTCGTCTACAGACACAGCACGGCTCGCTCAGTCTTGAGTGGCTGCATGCATTGCCTGTCAGACTCGCACAGTCAGTCCACCGTTTCCCCTCTGTTCCCTCACCCTCCCTCCCTCCGGCCTTCACTTGTTGCCCTTTACTCTGTGTGCCCACCTGCCCGCCCGTCCATATGTCAAAATAGTGCACTGTACCTCCGTAGCTTTCCCCACCCTGTTCCATGCTGACCCATCCCATCCCACCGCCACCCTTTACCGCCTATCTCCTCTGCCTTTCTCTCACCCCTGGTCTACCGTTTTTCCCGTGTGTGTGTGTTTTGCCGCCATGCATGCGAGCAGGGAGTTCCTAGTGAGCATCAGGGGCATGGGGCTCAAGAGCACCGAGTGCATCCGCCTCCTCTGCTTGCGCCACCTTGCCTTCCCTGTGAGTTGATTAGCTAGCTGCATAGCTCGTCAGCTTATTGACTAGCTAGTTACTTTGAGAGGTGCCTCAAATAACCTCGTCCATCCCTACTGTCCCTCTCAATGCTATACGACCCCCAGGGTGGACACAAACGTGGGCCACGATTGTGTGTGCCTCTGGTAATACTAAAAAAATCCGTTCGTTCCTCCTGTCCTGTCCTTCGGAACGCTGTACAACCAAACCAAACCGCCAGGTGGACACCAACGTGGGGCGCATCTGCGTGCGCCTGGGGTGGGTGCCCCTGGAGCCCCTGCCACACGACCTGCACCTTCACCTGCTGGAGCAGTAAGTTTGGGGGCCCTCAGGGGTAGTAAGTTGGGAAGCTGACTGTTGAATCGACTCAAAAGTTAAAACTTTGGGGGCCCTCAGGGGAAGTAAGTTTGGAAGCTCCACTTGCGGCTGGATGCAGAATCTGCTTTAGCAGGGTGATGCAATGCAATCCGAGTACAACACTCACCCTGTTGAGTACTTCCTGAGCCCTGACCATCAAGCCCTCATTCACGCTCGCTTCACTGATTCATGCTCCGTCACCTCTCATGCTCTTTTCACTAGTTCGGTCTATCCTAGTCTCTGTTTCCAACTCCCACACTAACAGAGACAGCAGAGTGACTTTTGAGACGTCTCAAAAGTTTAGAAGCGAGTGTGGGAGTAGGCAGCAGAGTGCCCTTCGTGCACTTGCTGCTCCAGCAGGGGCAAGGGCAGGTCGTTCAGGAGCACCGTATATTGAACTTCTGAAGGCAATCTTCCAGGCATTTCAAAACTCATGCTGGGCCAATAAGATTTGGGGACGTCTTGTAGCATGGGCGTGAGCATGCTTATGCGCTGAGCGGGGAACGATTATGCAAACAATCTACCGAAACATCTGCTGGAGAAGAAATCGGGCTGCGTATGGGCTGGATATCGAGCTGAATTTCCATCTCACCCGCAGCACTCAAGAATCACTGCCCTGCCACGAAGTTTGAGACATGTAATGTTTTAAGAAATATCCGACAACTCCCTTAGTCCTTTGGTCTTGCCCCCCCCGCCTCCCTCCCTTCCCCAGGTACCCAGTTCAGGAGAGTCTACAGCGGTACCTGTGGCCACGGCTATGCGGCATGACACAGGAAATGCTGTCAGTGACTCAGAGTACAGGGCGTGGCATGGCATGACATGGCATGGCATGGCATGGTTCAGCATGAATTGGCATGGTGTGGTATGGCATGGGATTGGGTAGCATGGCCTGACAAGGGCTGGCATGGGTTGGCATGCATTGGCATGACGTGGCGTGGTGTGGCATGGCATGGCCTGCCTTGTCCATGGTCCCTCCTTGTGCAAACCTTGCTCGCCCTCAACACTGCACTGCGCCATGCTGCTAGCTCGCTTTGCCCAGCTTTGTCATCTCTCCTCGTGTCATCGTGCATGATCCTTCGCTCTGTCCCTCTCCCTCCGTCTGTCGCTGTCGTGACGACATGCCATCGCTTCCCGTCCTCTGTGTGCCTCCTTTGCCCCCCCTTCTTCCCCCCAATCCCCAATGCAGCTACGAGCTTCACTACCATATGATCACCTTCGGAAAGGTGACTCTTCACAGCACAAACACAGAAGTAGTAACAGCAGTTGCACCCCTCAGCATCACCTGCCTGTTCAACCAGTCTTGTCTCGCATGCCACAAGATTCGTCGCTCCGCAACAGCCCACTGAGTTCCTCTGAGCGCTCTCTCAACCTCCTCTGACCTCCTTTTACTTTGTCTAGCTTCCACTAACGTTTCACCTGTAGTCCTCTGTCGTCTAATAACCTGCATGCATCCTTCCTCAAAAGCACTGAATCATTCTTCCATCATCCTATCCCCCCTACCCACACCACACCACCGCCCTGCACTGCACGGCATGGCGCACGGCGAGCGCAGGTGTACTGCACGAAGCGCAGCCCCAACTGCATCGCGTGTCCCATCAACGACAAGTGCCAGCACTTTAACAGCGCCCTCAATGCGTACGCCCCTTTCACCCAACTCCCCTCCCCACCTCTCTCTACCTCTCCCCACCTCTAATCTCCCTCTCCCTGCCTTTTTTTTAATATGACCTTCCGCGTCCTTCTTGTGCCCTCGACTTTCCTGTATTTTAATCCCAGCAATCAAATCCCAACACCTCGAGTTGCTCCCTTATCTCGTGCCCCCCCAATCCCTCCCAGAAACCGCCCTCTTCTCGCATCAGCCCCTCAAGGCAACACCAGCCGCAGTGCTGGTGAAGCGGGAGGCACACCGGGGTCCAGGAGGGAAGCAGCAGGGGGGGTTAACCAGGGGATGAGTGACAGTGGAACGGTGAGAGGTACTGGAGCAGTTAATACTGGTGGTGTGTTGACCGTTGGGGGTGGAGGGGGTCCTAGGGCTGAAAGGGCATCACCTGCTGCTGCTTCTGCTGCTGCTGCCAGAGCAGTGGCCGCAGCAGCAGTCACTGAGCATGGTTGGGGTGCCTCAGCCAGCAGGAGTGGGAGCCACGTGGTGAGGAAGTTCAGAACAATGACACAGCTGCTTCATGCACAGTGCCCGCAACAGGAGCAACAGCAGCAGCAGCAGCCACAGCAGAAGCCATGTGGTGTGTACCATTCAGAAACCACAGTTACTGCCGGAACAGCTGGAGGGAGCCCAACAGCGTTGCTACTGAATGCACAGGCAGCAGCTGCAGCAACACCACCACCACCACCACCGCCGCCAGCAGCAGCAAAAAATCATTTTCCCCTAGCTGGACCCTCAGCAATGCATGTCATTCCTCCTCCGCGGATAGCACTCACGAAGCGTGGCCCTTGCCCCCAGGTATCACCTGCCCAGTTGGCGCCTAGCAAGGCCATAGCAGGGGATGTGAGTGGGTGCGGTGAGGGAAACAGGCAGGGACTCACAACAAGCATGGTGGAGGGTCCGTGGGAGAAGATTGTGTTGATTCCACAGATGCGAATGCAGACGCCAGTGCAGATGCAAATGCAGACGCCAAATGTGATGCCAAATCAGATGCCGACACAGGCGCATGCACCAACACCACAACAACTCACTTTAACACCTCATTTGCAAGCGCTAACCCCACCGGCACTGGCATGGGCGCAGGCACACGCACAGGCGCAGGCACAGTCAGACATGGCAGCAGGATCAGGTTCAGGGGCAGAGCACGGGAATGGCGCCCCCATGTTTTGCACTGGGGGAGTGTTTCCAAGAAGTGCGCACGCAAGCAGCCCAATGGGTGGCGAGACGGAGAGGAGAGCAAGGGAGCAGGAATATGGAGAGAACAGCAAAGTGCTGGCTGAGAAAGAGGGAGGGGACATAGCAGGTGTCAGGGCCAGTGGCCGGAAATGGGCTGCAAGGGAGGGCAGTGGGGGATGGAGTCGCACAAAGGAGTTGGATTCGCGCGAGTGGGTGATGTCCAGTGCGGTGCCTGTGGTGGAAGAACCAGGCAGCCCTGTTTCAAAGACGCCAGAAACAGAGAGACAGAGCTCGCCTCAAGAAACTCCTCCGTACGAGAGCACAAAGAGCCAGGCGCCTCAAGACACGCCTGTGGTGGATGCGCCACGCGGACCAGAAGTAGGCAGGCGCGGTGCTGTGAGGGTTACGGGCATGGGTGGAAGGGAGGTGGGAAATGCAGGGGATGGGGAGCGAGGCGGGATGGTGTTTGTGGGGGACGGGATGAGGGGAGGCGACGAGGAGGGGAGCCGTGGTGATGGTCATTCAGGTCATGATAGAGGTGGCGATGATGAGGCCAGCAACGGTATGCATGAGCGTGTGAATGACACTGGGCGAGAAACATCCCGCGGTGGGGATGAGGATGAGGATGAGGACAGGAGCAGGGCGGTGGTGCTGATACCAGAGGACGTGGCAGCGTGCATGCGCCCCCCGCCTCTCAAGGCGGCTCAGCGCCTGCGCACTGTGCACTGCGTGTGAGTGAGCCCCCCTCCATGCACCACCCACTGTCGTTTCCCAAGGTTCTCTCGTGCCATGCAAAGCCATCCACTTCCGTGCCACGCTTGCCGTGTTCTTGATGTCAGTCAATCAGCCGAGTATGCCAGTGTTCTACCTAGATTGACGATTGAGATTTTCTGAAAGTTCAGCTATGGCAGTTGTGGTACCTGCAGGAATTCTCTGATTGTCCTTTTTTGCCCACGCACAACACACCATGCACCACGCACCATGCACCATGCACCATGCACCACGCACCATGCATCATGCTTCGTGTGTCATGTTTTTTCATGCATGACGCACCATGCGCCATGCATCATGCACCTCATGCTGCTTGCAGGTACGAGCTGCCGGACAATTCACCCCTGCTGCAGTCGGTGAGCATCTCGTGCTATGCTGTACTAATATGGTGGTATACCAGTGGTATTCCACCCACCCACGCACTCCCTTTAACTCATCCGTCCGTCGCCCCAAGCCCCAAGTTTGCTTCATTCATCACACGTTCGCCACCCTCTCCCTCCTCTCTCTCCCTTTCCCCATCCACCTTCCACGCCTACTCATGGCATCACTCAGCACTCCAGCCAATCTTCTCTCTGCCTGCTCGCTGCCGCTCCTCTCATGTCCTTCCCCCACTATTCCCATCTTCCATCTCCGTCACCCCTCTACCATTATCCCTCTTCCCTCTTCCCTCTCCCCTCTCCGTTCTTCCCTCTCCCCTTTTGCATCTCGCTTTTCCGTCTTCTCTCCCACACCCCCTCCCCCTCCCCCTCCCCCGTGCGCCGCGCCCTACCCCACTCTGTGTGCCAGTTGGAGCCACGTCACCCAGAAGACCGCTGCCCATACCTGCTTGTTCTCTGGGGGCCAGGTAACTACGCTGCTGAGACAAAGGCACCGTTTCTCTTTGCTCTCTGGAGATCAAGAGAGCTGCTTTGCATGTTGAGACGCTAATGGCACGGTTCTACCTTGTCCTCTGTGAATGTTTCCTTGACATAGGCCGTTGCTCCGCCGTACCCATTCGATTTGTTTCTTCGTTTTTATCATTTAATCATCAGCAATCTTCTTCTTCTTGGTCCCGGTCTCGGTTCCCTTGCGTTGTGCTGCTGCTAACGATTACCCGCTCCTCTCCCTGCCGCATCCTGCCTCCGTGCCCCCCTCCCCGTGCATCTCTTCCCAGGCGAGACCCTGCCTGCCACGCCCACGCTTCCTGAGATGTCCCGGCAGATGGCAAAGGAGCAGCAGCAGCAGCAGCAGCAGCAGCACAGGGGAATGGGAATGGGAATGGGAATGCACGCAGCAGGACCAGGGCAGCGGGCAGAGAAGCAGCATCAGAAGCAGCGGACGGCACAAGAGAGAAGGGGTACAGCGGCCGAGAGGCGTGGAGGGGCGTCGGGAAAGGTAGAGAAAGCGCGGGGCGACGCAGTGGGACGAAGCAGGGACAGGGAGACCAGCCCTGGGCAAGCAGAGCTCCCACAGATCGTTATTGAAGAGGTGACTGAGACGGATGTACTACTAGTAGGGGAAGCAGCATCAACAGCAGCAGAAGTAGGTGCAGTCAAGGGGAGAGGATGGGGGGGAAGTTCTGGGAAGGGTACAGTGGAGGTGTGTGTGGAGGGAGTGGGGGGCCGTGGGGATGTGAATGTGATGCTGGTGGAAGAAGTGGAGGATGAAGAGGAGGGGGGTGTGCTGGGAGGGAGTGCAAGGGAGGGAAGTGATGACGAGGGTGATGGCGCAGCAGCGTGGAAGGATGTGGGCGGTGGGAGGACTCTTGGGCAAAGCTGTAGGATTGGTGCTGCTAGTGGCGGCGCTGGTGCTGCTGCTTGTGCTGCTGCTTGTGCTGGTGGTGCTAGCGGCGGTGGTGATAGGTGTGTGGTGACCGAGGGTGGTGATGTGGATGGACTCGTGGATGGAGGCGTTGAAGGCGATACACCAATGCTGTTGGAGCACGAGGAGACAGTGCCAGGGACACTGCTGGTGGGTTTGCCCTGCCTTGCCTGCCTGCCTTCCACTCTGCCTGTGTCTTTACTCTTGCACAGATGTCTTCTGCCTCTTCCTTTCTCCATCTCTCTTGTGTCTTCTTCATTCCTCCTCCACTCCACTCTCAAGCCCATGTTTCATTCATCCCTCTCCCTCCTCTATCGCTTCTTTCCCACTCCCTCTTCTCCCACAATCTGCCTGCTTCCCTGGCCGCCCGGCCCCATCCCGCCCGTCCGCCCACCCGCCCATCCGCCCGGCTGCCTGTCCGCCTGCCTGTCCGCCTGCCTGTCCGCCTGCCTGTCCGCCTGCCTGTCCGCCTGCCTGTCCGCCTGCCTGTCCGCCTGCCTGTCCGCCTGCCTGTCCGCCTGCCTGTCCGCCTGCCTGTCCGCCTGCCTGTCCGCCTGCCTGTCCGCCTGCCTGTCCGCCTGCCTGTCCGCCTGCCTGTCCGCCTGCCTGTCCGCCTGCCTGTCCGCCTGCCTGTCCGCCTGCCTGTCCGCCTGCCTGTCCGCCTGCCTGTCCGCCTGCCTGTCCGCCTGCCTGTCCGCCTGCCTGTCCGCCTGCCTGTCCGCCTGCCTGTCCATCTGCCTGCCTGCCGGCCGGCCTGTCAGCAGATCCCATGCCGCACTGCAATGCGAGGAAGCTTCCCCTTGAACGGCACGTACTTCCAGAACAACGAGGTGAGCGAAGGATATCCTGCAGAATCAAAGAGCAATACCCACTCCACCTGCTCTTTGCAAATGTGCCCGTCCTGCTTGCTCTACCTGCCTGCCTGCCTGCCTGCCTGCCGGCCTGCCTGCCTGCCTGCCTGCCTGCCTGCCTGCCTGCCAATCCACCCACTCCACCTCCTCTCCATCCTCTCGGCCTTCTCAGATGTGCTGTTCTCACTGTGTGTTCTGGATCGACTCAGAATGTCCTCCCTGGACCTCCTCTCCCCTCCCTCCTCCTCCTCCTCCTCCTCTTCCTCCTCCTCCTCCTCCTCCTTCACTGCACCACTCTCCCCTGGTGCTTCTCCTCCTCCGACACCACAGGTGTTTGCAGACGCCGCCACCAGCAAGCAGCCTCTTGCTGTCCCGCGCTCCCTCCTCTGGCACCTCCCTCGCCGCTTCGTGCTCTGTGGCACCTCCATCCCCTCCATCTTTAAAGGTACCCTTCCCATTCCCATTCGCACCACCATGCACCACTTTTTGAGGTTTACCACTTACCACCTTGAGGCTTATTCTATACTAATTTCCCTTACGCCACACCTGATTCACCACCTCGATGGTTCACCAACTCCTGTTGTGTGACACCTGATGCACCTCACTCACCTGCTACACCTGCCCCACCTGCTTCACCTGCCGCGTGTGCTTCACCTGCCGCGCCTGCTTCACCTGCCGCTCCTGCTTCACCTGCCGCGCCTGCTTCACCTGCCGCGCCTGCTTCACCTGCCGCGCCTGCTTCACCGTCTCAAAACCTTGTGGCACCTCATTCGTCCACCTGTTCTTCCTCTCCTTGGTGCCCTCTCAGGCCTCACAACTCTCCAGGTCCAGTCGGTCTTCTGGCGAGGTACGTCCACACAGCACGGCACCACACAGCACCGCACAGCACAGCACCGCACAGCATTAGTATTTTGATTCACAGCAAAGTAAATGTGTGTGTAGCACTTGTACCACTCGTTTTCGCAACGCATTTACGAGGCCTCCCAGGCCACCCAACAGGACAAAGTTGCCTTCACGAACATGCATCACGTTTGAGATATCTCAAAAGTTATTCCAACGTAGCGGACATAATCTCCTTCACAAGCATGCATGCATCACGCCACTGCTCTCGCTGTCTCTGACAGCACCGTGTCCCTTACGAACAATAGGTCCTTCGTCCCGTACAAAACCTCACAACAAGCCCTCTCCTTCCGTCCTCTCTCCTCTCTCCTCTCTCCTCTCTCCTCTCTCCTCTCTCCCCTCTCCCCTCTCCCCTCTCCTCTCTCCTCTCCCGTGTTTCTCCCTCCTCCCATCCCATGAGCTGCACTGCACCAGGTTATGTGTGCATAAGAGCCTTTGACCGCATCACCCGTGCTCCCGGGCCCCTTGTACCGCACCTGCACAGCAGCCCCTCCTCTAAGCCCAAACCCAAGCCCAGCAGCAATGGCAATGGCAACAGCAATGGCGTTCAGGGGCAACCAAGCAATGCTAATAAGACCGCCCTGCGCACCCAACCGTAACAAGACCCTCTGGTGACCCACACGTTTGGGGTGCGTGTGAATGTGCCGTGAATTGTTAGTTTTACAGGTGTTGCTGGTGTGAATCTGACATGATTTGCTGACTTGGGTTTGTGTACCGTTTCCTCAATGCACGTGAGACTGCACACAGAACGCAACACCTCATTCATTTCATGCCACCAACAAAACCCTCCCATCAACTGCGGTGCCATTAATTAACGGAATATAACATGCCTTTTATTTTACTGTTTCCTATGGTGCTGGAGCTGGGCATTGGAATAAATGACAGGCAAGCACAGCCCTCCGCAGGGCAAATGGTTCCATTCCAAGCCAAGCAGCAGTCGCTTTGCAGCACCTCCAAGCCAGGTCCTGGTGACCATGCCAGCGAGAGTAAAGGGAGCAGCTGCCAACAAGAGGTAACATCGTAACACAACACGCTTTGCTATCCAGCTCTGCTCTGCAACAAGGCTCTCGCACTGCAGAAACGGCAACGGTGACGATTGGCGATCGTCGATTTGCGATCGGCTATCCAACCACGGGATGGGTCGGGCACGGGAGCAGTGATGCGCAGAGAGTGCAGCCACACACACCCATCCCCACGCCACTTCGTCATCATAAGACCCGCTTCCACTGCTGCTGCTGCTGCTGCTGCTGCTGCCGCTGCTGCTACTTTTGAGATGTCTCGAAACACGCCTCTCCCCTATCAACAGATATCATCTTCAGAACTAGCGGACTCCTCATTCCCCACCTCGTCATCATCGTCGTCGTCATCAGACCCACTCCCACTGCTGCTGCTGCTGCCACTGCTGCTACCACTCCCGCTACTACTGCTACTCCCACTCCCACTGCCACTCGCAGAGCTACTGCTCCCATCAGACCCTTGCTGCTTCGACGGTGTCCCAGTCTCAGTTACAGTCCCAGCCCCAGACGCAGGTGCATCTCCTGCTGCCTGCTCCTCTTCCTCCTCCACCTCGATCTCCTCATATTCCACCTCCTCCTCTTCCTCCTCCCCACCAACCCCCAGCTCAATCTGCTCAACACCTGCTGCCTTGTTTGTGTAGAAAGACGAGGAACCAACTCCCGAAGAATCCCGAGATGTTAACCCGGAAACAGAAGAACCAGTGGCTGTGTTCGCCCGTCCTGCACCATCACCCATCCCTCCTCCTCCTCCTACTCCTCCACCACCAGCAGCAGCACCAGCAGCACCTCTGCCCATCCCTCCACCGTAATCTCTCGACTTGCTAGCATGGGCAGCGCCTGATGCACCCACCCCCTCGCCCGCACCTCTTCCTCTACCGCCAGCGCCTGCTCCTCCCCCACCAGCAGCCGCCTTGCTCTCCCGAGCAGCAGCTGCAGCAGCAGCAGCAGCGGCCACTGCGGAAGACAAGGAGCCTGGCATGGCACCCGCCTCGTTCCCTGCCGCCGTGTCCGCTGCTGCTGCTGCTGCTGCGGCTGCAGCGTTGCCTTTTTTGCGCTTGGCTGCCGCTGCTGCTGAGGCTGTTCCATCGCGCTCTGCATGAAACACGGCACGGCAAGGCAGTGGGGACAGGAGGGAGTGGCGTTTGAGTCGTCTCAGGACAGGATAGACCGGGGGGGCGGATTTTATTGGGAGCACGAGCAAGGCGCTGGAGGAAGCCACATACACACAGGAATGCCAAAAAAAAAAAAAAAAAAGAGGCCACTGGATACCCTTGTGCATAGATACCGCTGACTGACACTACAAAAGGCGCCACTGGAAGCATATGACAAAAGAGAGTGTCACCTCGTGGCTTCTTCCCTGCTTGCCCTGCACCGCCTGTCTCTCCCCCACCATCCCCGTCCCTGCTCCCATGCCCACCTCCCGCGCCGCCAAACCCCTTCCCCTCGTCCAAATTCAGATTCCACCCTCCTCCGCCACCTCCTCCTCCTCCACTTCCGAAACCCGCGCCTCCCTTATCTCCCCCGCCCGCTCCCCCCGCTCCACCACCCGCCAACCCCCCCGCGTCCGCCCCCGCTGTGCCCGCGGTGCCCGCGGGCTTCTCCTTGGCGAGGCGGATGTGGCGCAGGTTGCGCACGGCGTAGTGCAGGCGCTCCAGGCGGAAGGAGCGCCCGTCGAAAAGGACAAGCCCCTCCTGGTCGCGACACGGGTCCACGTGGCCCTCGAATTCCAGTGGCGGCTTCCCCGGCTGGTTGTTTGGAAGCTCCACCCCAACCTTGCTCTCCCCGCGGCTCTCCCCGCCCCGCCGCAGCGTGCCTGGGCGCGCGGAATCGATCGACGCTGGCTTGAACTCGTCTGCGCGGAAGGGAAAGGGGGGAACGGGGAAGGGGGAAGGTGGGGGAGGCGAGCGGGGACGTGTGCAGGCCGAGGGAAACGGAAGGGCCTCGCTTTCCTGTTTACCCCTACCACCGTCTTCAGACATTTCAAATTCACCCCACTAGGTACCCAGTTCAGAAGGCATCCCCGTTATAGGCGCACGCGCAAACGCACATCGGAGCGTGTAGTACTGAACGGGCGCGTTGGGGCGGAAGGAGTCCCCCAGAACGAGCGGGTACCACGTCTCCTCTGTCGGAGCTGACTCCGCGCCCGGCACGCTCGGCCGAGACATCGTGAAGCTGCGACGCGAGATGTGACGGGGCTATACGTGACTAAGCGACGGTTTATGAGAGCAGGATTAACTCGAACGCGAGAGTGCTACGGCAGGGACTCGTGGCAATGCTGTTGTGTCGGGGGAGGAGATGCGTGGACGCGCGAAGAACTGGGGCAGGGTGATCAGGGTCGTGGGACAGTGCTTGTGATGGGTATTTGTTGTGGGTGCAATGAATCGAAGTAGCGAGAATTGCACTAAGGTGTCAAACGAGTACAAAGATGTGAGCGAAGGCATGAGCGAACATTTATACGCGAAACATGCAAACGGTAACGCGGTGCGTGCGAGCTAGCTAGTGCTATGCTGGCAGCGAGGCTCGGGCTAGTCCCGAAGCGTAGGCTGACACGGCCGGGCCAGCAGTGCGAGGTTTGGCAAAACAGTGCGCGCGAAGTTGGCAAAGTCCCGTTAGCAGTAACGGGCGAACAACGGCTATTGCTGTACGCGATGTAGTCGTGCTCCGTAAGGAATGCCGAGAAAATTCCTTACACTACCCCCCCCTCAAGAAGCCCCCTCCGCTACGCGAGTGCGTGTATATCGCGGAAACCACGGCTCCTCAAGTAAACTTGCAGGGCAGGGTGGTTTTCAATGTTGGCCAAGGGCACCCGGCTATCTTCAGTTGGCGTGCGATCCTTCCAGCGAACGAGGAATTCGGTCCTCCTGATTCCCGTAGGGTGTCGAATCCGATGGCTCATGATTTTTTCGGGCTCGATGATCGGATCTGATGCAGGGCGAGTCATGGATGGCGGGCGGTGACGAGGCAGTTGGCTTGTGGTTGGGATGTATGGGCGAAGTAGGCTGACGTGGAACGAACAGCTGATGTACCAGTCCGTCGGCAACAGTAGGTGAGCTGTCACTTGGGTAATCATGTGGCTGATTTGGAATGGTCCACAGTAGCAGGGTCGTAATTTCGGTACGACGGGCAGTCTTAAGTTCTGTGTATCGAGCAGTACGTAATCCCCTGACTGGTACGTGACTGGGCGGCGGTGGCGGTCAGCGTTGCGTTTAGCGATGACGTTGGCTTTTATTATTGCTTCGGCGGCTCTGGTGCGGGCAGCTTGCAGAATTTCGGCGAATTGTTGTGCACGTGGTGTTGGGTTGTCCGGACTCGGCGTCATGGGCACTGTAGAATTTTGCCCGTACTTCAGGTAGAAGGGGGACTGCTGCGTCGTCGCTGACGTGACGTTGTTGTACGCGAACTCGATCAGCGGCAGCTGCTGCTCCCAAGTCGTGGGGTCATCGCACGTGGTACGAATTAACTACTCCATCGTCTGATTCGTCCGCTCCGTTTGACCGTCGGTCTCGGGGTGATACGACGAACTGAACTGTAGCCTTGTCCCGAACTGCTCCCAGAGGTTCTTCCAGAAGTTGCTGGTAAACTTCGTGTCCCTGTCGCTGATAATCGCTGCTGGTATCCCGTGCAGGCGAACAACGGCTGCGATGAACAGACGAGCGGTCTCCACGGCTGAGATCGACTTTTTGCACGCAACAAAGTGTGCCATCTTCGTCAACCTGTCAACGACGACCATCACCGCGTCGTTACCCCCAGGGTTCGAAGGTAACACTGTGACGAAGTCCATGGTAACCTGCTGCTAGGCGCGCTCGAACGGTGGTATCGGCTGCAATTGACTCGCCTTCCGCTTCCTCGAGCTCTTCATCACCTGACACGTGGGGCACGAGCCCACGTGCTGCTGCACGTCGGTCAACAGCCCTGGCCAGTAGTAATACCGCTGCAGTTGCTGTCGCGTTTTTTCTACCCCAAAATGTCCAGAGGTAATTCCGTCGTGTGCCTCCTGCAATAGCAGCTCCCTCCGTAGTTAGTACGCGGGTACCCAGATGCGGCTGGTGCATGTTTTTACGTAATAAACTCATTAAGCTTCTGCCAGTTGCTGTGAATTTACGGTCGTGAAAAACGGGTCTGTGCGGTATCCGTGGGTGAATAGGCCTGTTAAAAGCGGGTTGGTTTGGGCGAGTAGGATGGCATGGAGTTGGGCGGTAGGGCGGGTGAGTGCGTCGGCGATGTTGGAGGCGCCTTTCTTGTACGTAACCGTGTAGTAGAAGTTGGACTCGAGGTAGTCCAAACAGCGAATCTATCGCGGATTGAGATTTGGTTGGGCGCGTAGGTACTGTAGTGATCGGTGGTCTGTCCGTACTGTCACGTCGGCGCCAGTCATGTAACACCGCCAAACTTTGAACGCGTGCACAATCGCCAACATTTCGCGGTCGTGTATCGGGTAATTGCGTTCGGGCGGATGCGGCTTGCGGGACTCGTACGCGATTGGCTGGAGGCCGTTCCCGAAATCTTGCAACAGTACTGCTCCCACCGCGATGTCACTTGCGTCAGTGACGAGCTCGAACGGACGGTGTGGGTCTGCGATGTGAAGCACGGGCGGTGAGCACAAAATGTTTTTGAGGGCCGAGAAGGCAGCTTGCTCTTTCTCTCCCCACGTGTACTCAACCCCCTTCCTCAGCAGGTCTGTAAGTGGGGCAGTCAGCTTCGCCATGTCGGGGACGAACCGGCGCACGTAGTTGACGAACCCCAAAAAACTCTGCAACTCGGTCAAGTTGGTCGGCGCGTGCCATGCTTGAATCGTCGCAATTTTCTTCAGGTCTATTTCCACTCCTGCGGCTGAAATAGCGTGTCCCAAAAATTCCAGGCGGTCCTGTAAAAACTCACACTTCAACGCTTTTTTCAGTAGGCGGTGCTCACTCATAATTTTAAAAACTACTTCGATGTCCTGTATGTGCTGTGCTCTGTCAGGCCTGTAAATCAGTATGTCGTCCAGATATACTATGACGCACTTATCTAAGAGCGGGTGGAAAGCTTCGTTCATGGTCATTTGGAAAGTGGCGGGGGCGTTGGTCAGTCCGAAGGGCATGACGGTATATTCGAAGGATCCGTAGCATGTTCGAAATGTGGTCTTAGGGCAGTCGGGCGGATTGACGCGAATCTGGTGGTAACCCCCTCGGAGGTCGATTTTCGAGAAAACCCGGGCTATGCACAGTTGGTCGATCAGTTTGTCGGCTCGCGGGATGGGGTAACGGGATTTGATGGTAACCCTGTTCAGTGCTCTGTAATATATGCACATGCGAACCCCCCCGTCTTTTTTCGGTGTGAACAGTATCAGTGCTGCGAAGGGCGACGAACTGCTTCCTTAGTTCGTCCAGTTTGGGCTGGGTCAGTCGGAACTGTCGCTGTACTGTTAGCTGTGCTGTCAGAATGTTATTCTCTAGCCTGTAGTGGGGTGCTCTATAGCGAGTACAACCCATCTAGGGTTTGCTATATGTATCTTCATTGCTGCTAGTGAAACCCCTCTTTTGCCTAAACTTTTCTTGCCTAGCTAGGGCTTACCTAGCTATGGCTCCTAACTCTGCCTACTATCTGAACATGCCAGGGCTTACCTACGCTCCTGGCCGGTGGGCCCACCTGCTTCCTATGCTACTCGATCTGTCGCACGCCCCGTGGCGTGCGACGCATTTTTCATCCCGCCGCGCGCCCTTTGCGGCCCTGTTGCCGCTCTTCGCGGCCCCGTCGCCGCCCTTCGCGGCCCCCACTCGGCCCCTCCCCCCCCCCTTCGCGGCCCCGTCGCCGCCCTAAGCGGCCCCATCGCCGCCCGCAGCGGCCCCCGTCGCCGCCCTCTACGGCCCCGTCGCCGCCCGCAGCAGCCCCGTCGCCGCCGCAGCGGCCCCGTCACCGCCCGCAGCGACCCCTTCGCCGCCCGCAGCGGCCCCGTCGCAGCCCGCAGCGGCCCCGGCGCCGCCCGCAGCGGCCCCGTCGTTGTCCGCAGCGGCCCCGTCGCCGCCCGCAGCGGCCCCGTCGCCGCCCGCAGTGACCCCTTCGCCGCCCGCAGCGGCCCCGTCGACGCCCGCAGCGGCCCCATCGCCGCCCTCCGCGGCCCCGTTGCCGCCCGCAGCGGCCTCGTCGCCGCCCTCTGCGGTCCTGTCGCCGCCCTCCCGCTGCCCCTTCACGGCACCCTGGGGAGCCGTGCGCGGCCCCTCGCTGCCCCGTGGTGGCGCCCTGGGGGCCGCGCGCCGTTCCCCTCGCCGTCCCCCGCGCTCCTTTCCCGTCCCACCCGTTTTAGGGTTTGGGGGTGCGCGGTGTGGGGGTGGCGGTTGTGGGGGTGTCGGTTGTGTGCGCCGTCCCCTCCTCCTCCTCCTCCTTCGTCTCCCACTACTGCAGCTGTCGCTGAGGGGGGTGGATGTGTGGGAGCTTGGGGTTTAGGGTTTAAGGGGGGTGCTGTGGGAGTGGAGCTAGGGTTTGAGCAAGGGGTGTGTGAGAGGGGCGTGGGGCAGCTGGGGGAAGTTGTGTGAAGGTAGCTGTCTTGTAGCCTGCAGCGCCTGTAGTCCGTCGCCCTTGCTTCGGTAGCCAGTGAGCCTGTTGCACCAGTCGCCAGTGGGTCCGTTGCTCCTGCCGCTCATCTATAGCCGCGGAGCCAGTCACTCCAGTAGTCCGTCGCCCTTGCTTCGGTAGCCACTGAGTCAGCCGCTCCTGTGCCCGTGCCTCTGCAGCTTCAGTCGTTGCCTCTCATCTTCTCTCCCTCGACAGTCTCTCCTCCTCCTCACTTGCCCTTTGTGATTAGCTCTAACTTTGCTTACCTTTGTGAACTCCTGCTCTATACCTACTTGCTCATTGTACTGATTACACCCCACTTTGGCTATGGGGGTGTGTCAGAATGTTATTCTCTAGCCTGTAGTGGGGTGCTCTATAGCGAGTACAACCCATCTAGGGTTTGCTATATGTATCCTCATTGCTGCTAGTGAAACCCCTCTTTTGCCTAAACTTCTCTTGCCTATCTAGAGCTTACCTAGCTATGGCTCCTAACTCTGCCTACTATCTTAACATGTGCCCCCGGTTCTAACTCTATCCTGTGGTCGTGCGGTCGCTGAGGTGGCAGTCGCGTCAGTAAATCGTCCGGGAAAATGTCGTTGTACTACTTCAACAGTGCTGCAAGATCACTCAGTACGTCAGCCAGCAGTTTCTGTAAATCCCCTCCTTTGTCTGCTGCCTCGGCTTCCCGAATGTCGACCGCGTACACGTCAGCTCCTGCCGCTACGGCGCGTTTCATTGTGATCGCGTTGACATGCACCGACGAAGGCTCAGGTGAGCCCCAGCTAGGTAAGGCGATGTTGTTACCGTTCATTCGCACGGTGCAGTCACCCGTCGTCCAGTCGATTCGCGGATTGTGTCGTCGCAACCAATCACGCCCGAGTAAAATATCGGTTCCGTCGAGGGTCGTTACGAGCATTTCCTAGCTAAATGTGAAGTTACCCCCACATCGAATCCGAACCCGGTCTACGCGTTCCCGTATTGCCAGCGGCGTGCCGTCTACCAGTCTTGCGTCGATCTCAGGTAAACATCTGTCCAGCGGCAGTCGCAGTTTTTGTGCTATAGCAGTGTTGATGAGGCTGTGGCTGACTCCTCCGTCTACAAAGATTTTTACTAAGTCCGTCCTGATTTTCCCACTAAGCAGTATGGGGCTGTCTACCGTGGTCCCCTCCTTATTCGGCTGGGTGTGGTCGATCGCGTGAACCGGCACAATCACTCGGTGAGGGTCGGTTGGGTCGGGCGAGCGGCGTGACCTGTCAGTAGAGGGCCCGTCTGCTACTGACTCCCAGCGTTTCCCTGCTGCTTGGTCTGTTTCTGCTGCTCAGCTTCCCCCTTTCCCTTAGCGTTTTCCGGGCATTCGCACTTGCGATGTCCCGGCCGATTGCACGCAAAGCAGCGCCCTTTGAATGGTGCGGCAGCGGCATTTGCGGCGACGGCACGTATCGTTGCGCCCTCGTTCGTCCCACGAGGCCGATGTCCCTAATGGCTGCTTCCGTAGGACCCCGGTCTCGGTCGGCGGAAGAAATCAAGTTTCTCCGCCATAACGAGAATTTCTTGAAAGTCGGTGACGCCGCGAAGCTGGATTTCCTGAGCGATGTCCTGCTTCAGGTCGCCGATGTAGCGGTCGATGCGCTCGCTCTCGTGCATATATCCCACCTACTCGCATAGCGCCAGAAATCCGCTCGTGTAGTCTTGGACGGAACCGAGTTGGCGACAAGTGCGGAGCTTCTGTCGCGCCGCGATCGAAGCCGCGATTGGCTCGAAACGAGCGCGCAGACCTGCGCACCACGCGTCCCACGTGCGATACTGGGGCACCTCCACGAAATACGACGGCGCGCAGGGTCCGGTTTGTCCTTCCCTTGTCGGTAGAGTCGTGTAGTCCACCGGCTTCGTGACGATGACGCGCCACCAGTCCATGGCGGGTCCTCGCAGCAACGACACGGCGTAACGAATCTTCGCCGTATCCTCCGAGACGTAGTTCGCGTCGAAGAAGACGTTCAACGTGAAGAGCTACGCCTGAACGGTAGGACCACCCCGTTGACTTGGGTCAAAGCATGGCGGGCACTGCGGCTTTAGCGACATCGGCGACGGAAGAGTTGATCCGCCGGCCGGCACTGAAATCGTGACTTGAGGCTGAGTCCTGGCCGCATTCGTCGCGTCGGGGTGTGTCGTGCCGTGGTCGTCGTCTCCGTCATGGCGGACGACGCCATCACCTGCGGCGCTCGCGGGTTGCCCCACACTTCCGTGCTGTGATGTTTATGGTGCGGGCTGAATCGGAGTGCCATGTGCCTGGGATTGTGCTCGTGTGAGGTCGTTTTGCAGGGACGAGCGTTCTGCCGTTAGCGTCGCGATTTCCTCAGCACTCTCGCGGATTTGTCGCAGCAGATCGTTCAAGTGCTCCTGCGTGAGGGTCGTGACGTCGATGTGTTCAGCCATTTCGAAGGGCGTCGGCTCGTCTTAGTCTAGGCGCAGTCGTGGCTGCACGCGCTTACGAGAGAACGTGAGGACAGTGACTCCTAGGTGCTAAGGTACGTAAGTCCCTTCGAGTGAAAAATCAAAAGTTGATTTCATGGGGTGCGGAGATGCGCGGTCCGAAAGAAAGGGGCTATGATACCAAGTGTTACGGGTGCAATGAATCGAAGTAGCGAGAATTGCACTAAGGTGTCAAACGAGTACAAAGATGTGAGCGAAGGCATGAGCGAACATTTATACGCGAAACATGCAAACGGTAACGCGGTGCGTGCGAGCTAGCCAGTGCTATGCTGGCAGCGAGGCTCGGGCTAGTCCCGAAGCGTAGGCTGACACGGCCGGGCCAGCAGTGCGAGGTTTGGCAAAACAGTGCGCGCGAAGTTGGCAAAGTCCCGTTAGCAGTAACGGACGAACAACGGATGTTGCTGTACGCGATGTAGTCGGGCTCCGTAAGGAATGCCGAGAAAATTCCTTACAGTATTCAAGGTTGCAGTGGCTGGTTGTGCCTGACATGTAGAATGGCTTCATAAAAAAAAAACCAGCAAATCCATGTCCAACCATGTCTGGCAAAAAAGCACACGGTATTCTGTTCTTCGGCAAAGTCACACTTAGCTAGTGCGATGAAATACTGAGCGCTTTTCTATTTATATTGACATAGCTCTTCGCTGTTCTTCATGGTGTGGTATATTCGAATGGTTCTGGTTTCTAGTTTCTTGAATTCAGTAAACGAGTGTACGCTAGAAATGTGGAAGGTTGAGCACAGCCAAATTATATTTACACGGAACGGCCCACAGCGCCTACGCCCAAGTTCCGAGCATCCCCTGGCTGCTTTTCCCAGCCTGCACCCACCGTGTGGTCTGGTAACTAGCGGGGTGTGGTTGAGGCTGCAGAGGCTTGTGACCCAACGAATTGTTTCGAGGGTAACCACCCACCACGTGATTGGCTGGAGGGAACTCCCGAACCACAAACCGCCGCACCTGGCCTCATGTTCCACTGCCCTCACGAACCTTGTGGTGTACCCTACCCAACCGACTTGTTTCCTTCATGACCGCCAAGGCTGGGCTGGCTCGTTTACTCTTGCTTTCCTCCTCACAGCAGCTTCGAGTTCCCCAGGGAGCGCCGCGCACACTCGTCCTTTCCCAACCAACTACCGCCCCATACACCACTCCTCGTTTACCCCTTGGGATATTTCCATGCATTCCACCTCCATCACCCACACCGCATTCAAACGCAACAAAAAGTTTGAAAACGTGCGTCACCCTACCTCGCCTATTTGTTCCGCTGCGTTTGTTCATGACCTTTCCAGAAGCCACAGCATGGGGTTCCCAGAAGGCACATTCATGGATGTGAGCAGCGTGGAACGATGGTTGGTCATTTTGTTATCTTGTAAAACGCGTGCCTTGTGTTCCACGCGTTTCGCTAATTGCCAATTGTGCTCAGAGCTGGCAGGCAACGCGGACGGTTCCGACTTTGCTTTGTCCATAACGAGTCATCCACGTCCTAATCCATTGTTATCCATGTCTATCAGCTAGCAGTCAGGTTGCTGTTGGCGGAACTCTTCACTGCGTCGTTCTGCAGCATCCGTTCTCGAGACTACCTTGCCAATTACCTCTTAAACCGTAGTTTCGCTTCCTGAGACACCTTTCCCCTCATCGCCACTTCGTCTCGCCATCCCTCCCGCCTTGACTCGCCGTTCGACGCGCCTCGAAACGTTTCATCGGTCCCGGCTGCCTCCTTCCTCTTCCTCTTCCTCGTCCTCCACTTCGTTTCGTCGTCGTCATCGCAGCGCAGCGTGCAGCACACGGGGGTCGCCTTTGAGAATTCTCGAGTGCCACGTCGCCATGATGTCCTCGTCGCAGCTGCGACTCATGTCGGACCTCAAGGCCATCCGCCAGGAACCTCCCGAGGTACCAAAAGTCCCATTTTTTTTTGTCCCTTTTAGTTAAACAACTTTTAGCCTCGGTTCCCTCGCCTGGATGTTCTCCCGTTGGGCCGTTCTTGGCACGCCCTTCACATTCCAGGTTCGCGATGTCGTGTGCGTTGTCTGACGGACCCTTCTTGGCGTGTGTATGCCGCATGCTGCATGATGTGTGGTGCATGGGGCTTGGTGCATGGTGTGTGCATGGTGCGTGCATGGTGCGTGCATGGTGCGTGGTGTATGTGGTGGTCGGTCGGTGCGTACTGTTGAGCAGGGATGCAGCGCGAGTCCGCAGAGCGATGAGAATCTCTTCGTGTGGAGCGCCACCATCTTCGGCCCGGATGAGTCACCCTGGGAAGGTAACTCATATTCCACCGCACGCTCGCACGACGCGTAAGGGATTGAAGAGATGCAGGTAGCAGGCTTCATGCCGGCAAGGCTACTGATTGATAATGTTTAAAAAGTGGAGTACGATGCGTTTTGTTACTCTGAGCCATGCAGGCAATGCAGAAACTGCTTCCGTGGATTAAGGCTTAAGGGAGCGTGAGGGGTAGGGCTGAAGCGGGATCATCAAGAGCAATAAGCACGCGCGACAGGCAAATAGGAGCGGTTGGATACCTCAGTTAGCAAATAAGGAATCAAAAAAGAGGTTTAAAAGTTTTTTTGTTTCACTTTAGTCGAGGCCAGCCAGCTTAAGTTTTGAAGACTATCGGTTACCAGGGTTTTCCAGCGTCTTGTAATCCTTGGGTCTCACCTTATACCTCAGGTTGCCATGGTGTGCTCCCCCCTCCCCCCGTTTCCTCCCTCCTTCCTAACCTACTCCCACCGCTATTCCCCCTCCCCTTCCCCTCGCCTCAATCCCCACCCTCTCCCCGCCCCCCTTTCCAACTCTCGCCCGCCCGACTTACGATCTTCCCTTTCCCTCAATGCAGGCGGAATTTTCTCCCTGCGCCTGATATTCAGCGAGCAATACCCGGAGAAGCCACCGCGTGTGCGATTCACATCCGAGGTCTTCCACCCCAACGGTCAGTCCCAGCCCTCTCCCTCTCCTCTCTCTCTCTCTCTCTCTCTCTCTCTCTCTCTCTCTCTCTCTCTCTCTCTCTCTCTCTCTCTCTCTCTCTCTCTCTCTTCCATATGTTGGTGCATTGCGCGAGACTGATGTGCCTGCCTGGTCCCTGCTCCTGTAACTCTTCCCTGCGCTCATCCATGCACGATGCGCCCATACCATGCAGTGTACAACGACGGCACACTGTGCATGGACATCATCCAGGACGCGTGGTCGCCGTGCCACAACATCTGCACCATTCTCACATCCATTCAGGTAGCTCATGCATGCAATGGGTGGGTGAATGGGGGGGGGGGGGAGGAAGGGGGGAAGGGGGGGATGGGAGTGTCAGGAAGTGTGGAATGTGGTGAGTGTATGGACGGGAGGCTGTGCGTCGGCGTTTGGAAAGGATTGTGGCACGTTGTGTCAGAGCTTGGGAAGGGGTATGAATGGCGCCTGGAAGTGCTGCTGCTGCACTTTTTTTTTTAATCATACGTCCTGATTCTAATACCCCTTCTCCATATTCCATTCGCTTCCCCATGTCCCATTCCCGTCCCCTTCCCTTCCCCTTCCCTTCCCCTTCCCCGACTTCTCCCCTTCCCCTTCCTTTCCCCTTCCCCTACAACTTCTCGTCTTGCATCCAGTCATTTTCAATACGAGCCTCCTTCCTGCGTGGTTCGATTCTGCCTGCATTTTGAGCTACTATGCAGCTGTTCTCTTGCTTCCTGCTGTGCTTTATCCCTTATTTCTGTGTGTTTCTTTCTTACCACATGTTCCCATCTTCCCTTCCTTTTTGTCACTACGCACTCTACTACAGTCACTTTTGACTGACCCCAACCCTTCCAGTCCAGCCAATCCCGAAGCAGCACAACTGCTATCCTCCGACCTTGTTGCTTACAACAGGTACCGTGCGATGTGCCATCTCACACAATTTTCAGACTTCGTACCCCTGCATGTCCCTCTTTCATCCCTTCTTGCTGCACTTCACTCAACTCTCCCATCCCCCCCCTCCACCAACCCCTCCCTCCCCCCTCCCCTCCCCCCCCTTCCCTTCGCCTTTCCTTCCCCCTCCTTTCCTCCTCACTGCCCCTTGAATGCGTGTACTTCTTCCTCCTCTCTCCTCTCCCATTCCTTAGTGCCACCCTACAGTTTCTATCACAACGTTGAACTAAACATGTTCTCTCTGTGCCCCACCCCGTGTGACTGTTTTAACAGGAGAGTGCGTCAATGCGTGCGGAAATCGCTAGACAACATTCAATGATTGTTCACTTGCCACTGGCACTGCGCTTCCTCCGCCTCCTCCTCATCCACACATTGTTCATATGCCATTCCATGTGCTCCTCTCTCTCCCTCTCCCCCTCCTTTCCCTCTCCCTCTCCCACTCCCTCACTCTCTCCGTCTCCATCTCCCTCTCCCACTTTTTCTGAGTCTCTCTCGGTATCATCCCTCTCCCTAGACCCTTCTCGCCCCCCCCTTTTTCTCGCTCCCCTCTCTCTCTCACTCTCCTCGTATCTGCCCAACGCATCTGTTGCCCACACCACCGGCACGAGCTGCTGTGGAGGCACTGAAAAACACCTTGTGCGCGGATGAACCTATGAACGAGACTGGCACAGCACTCTGCAGGTCGTTGTGGGTACTTGTGAAATTCAGCCGGAGATGCAAACCTATACTGTTGCAGCAGTAGTTCTGTTGTAGGACTAGAGCACCACCTTCAGAGGAGGTTGGATTTTTTTTTCTGTTTAAACCAGCCACACTCTGGCCCTTCCATGGTTTCAATCACTAGTCTTGGCAATCAGGGTCAAAACCCAAAATGGAGGAGAGTATTAATTGATGTGAGAAGGTGGACAAATTTCGAAGCCTCCAATTCATCATGGGCAGGCAAAGATGGAATATTCTGCACTACAGTATAAATCAAATCATGCACACACCTACATGCACTGTCCAACCCACAAACCACTGCATCATACATTTCGTATGAAAGTTTGTACCAAAACAAGCACTAACATCACAAGCGGATGCTGGCAATGTCAGCATCGTTGAGCTCGCCCCAGAGCTCCACCACACTCTCCATACAGTCATCTAACTCCCCTCCATCCATCCCCACCACCACCCCATCCTCCTCACCATTCACACCATTCACACCATTCACACCATTCACACCATTCACACCATTCACACCGTTCACACCATCCTCACTATCAACCACACCATCCGCCATGTTGGGCTGAGGACACACCACACTATCCATCTCTTTCACACCCACCTCTCTTTGCTTCTCCCTCCTACCGTTCCACACTCCCTTCTGTTCACTCACACAAACAACATCCTCCCCTGCGCCCATGCCTGGCACAGCCATCCCCACCATTTCCCCCACCATCCACCCCTCATTATGGAACCACTCAGCAACATCCCTACTGAGGCTCTCTGGAAAACCCCTCTCAGGCCCGCACGCAACTCGACCCTTGCGGTCATAGCAACAATACTCCCTCTCTCGCTCAGCCTCCCTCTCTCCCACTCGCCCATCCTCTTGCTCCCCCTCTCGGTGCTGCACACTCGCTCCTCCATCCTGGATTGATGCCTTACCCTTGCCCTCATCTTCAGCTGCTGCAGCGCTAGGCTTGCTTCCTCCTCCCTCGCAGATTTCCTGGCGGATAACTCCACCAGAGCAGCCCTCCCCAGCCCTTCCGCAGCCACTCCTCAGTTCCTCCTCCTCCTCCTCCTCACGTGTTGCCACTGTTTCGCTTGTACCACCTGCCTCGCCGACGGTTCCTGCACACCTGGTCCCTTCACAGTGCTCCTCATCTGTCCCTATCTGCTCCACCCGCTCCCCCCCCCTCATCTGCACTCCCCCTACTGCACCACTGGCCGCTCCACCCGCCCCATCAGACCCAGACTCACTGAGACCCCCGTTTGTGGTGGCTCCGGATCTCACAGAGACAGGTGCCTCGACGCCTGCTTCCATGCGTGCTTGTTTCAGGTTAGCTCCACCTGTCATTCCTCCACCCGCAACCACCGCAGGAGCTGCCACTTCCTGTGTCGCTACACACCCTCCCGGGCCCGTCTCTTCACCACCTCCACCTGCTGCTATCCCAGCACTGTTGCTGCTGCTCCTGCTACTGCCCTTCCCGTTGCTGCTGACACCACTGCACTTGTCACCGAGCACAAGCCCCTGCTGCTCCAGCTGATGCTGCTGCTGCAGCTGCTGTGGCTGCTGTGGCTGCAGCTGCTGCGGCTGTGGCTGCTGTTGCAGCTGCTGCGTCCCATCCACCTGCTGCTCCCTTACTGGCGGCTTCCCCCGCTGCTGCCTCCTTGGCCGTTGCTGAACCATGGCTTTGCTGCTGCGGCCTACAGGTGCTGCTGCTGCTGCTGCTGCTGCCACACCCCACCGCACTGGCAGGGCAGGGAGCGGAGCAGAGGGAATGAGGCGCACACCAGGAGAGATGGGGTGAAGGCCCGGAGGCATGGGTTTGAGTGCAGGGATGGTGTAGGCACGGGCAGAGGGCAGTGGCAGCGTGGCGGCTGCAGTGCGAAGGGGCATTGGGAGGAACGCCGTGAAAGGGACAGCTTTCGCTGCTGGTGCTTGGTTGCTGTTGCTGCTGTGCGCTGCATGTGTGTGGGCTAGAGCAGGGGATGCTGGAGCGTGGGGGGGAGGAATGGTGGATGGATTGTGGTCGGGCTTGTGGGCCGGAATGGGAGTCTGGTGCGTGATGCTCGGTGCATTGTGTGCAGCAGAGGTGTTAATTTGGCTTGAAGTGAGAAGAGCTACAGGGAGGGGGTTCACAGAAGGGGTGGCAGAGATGGGAGGACTAGGGCTGTGAGGGATTGTGGGGATCGGGGGACTAGGAGGTATGACAGGGATGACAGGGGTTGCAGGGAAGGGGATGGGAACGCTGGGGGGGAAAAGTGGGGCTTGAGTAGGAGCACTGGGGAGGTGAGTGATGCTGGTCAGGACTGTGGGTGGAGAACACATGGTGCTGAGTACGCCTTGTGTTGGTGGTTGAAGAGAGAAGCAGTTCTGCAGCGGTTGCTTCTGCAGCTGCTGTTGCTGCTGCTGGTGATGCTGCTGCTGCTGCTGCTGCTGCTGCTGCTGCTGCTCCAGCTGCTGCTGCCGTTGCTGTTGCTGTTGTTGCTGTATCTGTAGCTGTTGCTGCTGCTTCTTCTCCTGCTCCCGTAGCTGCTCTTTCAGAAGCTGCTGCTCCTGCAGTTGCAGCTGTATCTGATGCTGTTGCAGCAGCAGCCACTGCTGTAGCGGCATCTCCTGGGTCTGAGCCTTCTCCTTTTGAGAAACAACACTGTCTCGTGCCCCTGTTATTGCTGCCGACCCTGGCGTTACTGCCGACCCTGCTATTGCTGCCGACCCTGCTATTGCTGCCGAACCTGCTATAGCTGCAGACCCTGCTATTGCTGCCAAATCTGCTGCTTCTGGCAAAGTGCCTCCTGCAGCTGCTGGAAAGCCTGCGTCAGGCTTCTGGAACTGCTGAGTGGGGTTGGAAGCATCTTTCTGTGGGAGCATGGGTGTTTTCACCCGCTGGTCGTCAACGGGACTGTATATCTCGCCATCCACTGCTTCTTGAGTGCCCATGTGCTGTGCTGTGAGAGGGTTCATGCGTGCGTGCATGCCCGTATTGATGTATGGATGCATGTGTTGTGGGATGTCCGAGTGCATGTGCGGATGCATGTGCTGTTGTGTGTGCGCATGCGTGAGCGCGAGTGACAAGGCACGCTGCTGCTGAGCCGCGTCGACACCGGACCCTTGCAGGTGCAAGTGCTGCACGCTAGAGGAGCTTGACCCTGCGCTTCCCCCAGCAGCAGCAGCAGCAGCAGCAGCAGCAGCAGCAGCAGCAGCAGCAGCAGCAGCAGCAGCAGCAGCAGCAGGAGCAGTGCAACAACTAGGGACGCTACATGCAGCCAAAGCACAAATTGAGCTGGAGGCTGTGAGAGGAGGAACGAGAACGGGGTGGGGAGCAGCAGCGCCAGCACCAGCAGCAGCACCAGCAGCAGCACCAGCAGCACCAGCAGCACCAGCACTAGCACCGGCAGCAGCAGCAGCAGCAGCACTGGTACTAGCGTCAGTAGCAAAGAGCAGAGCAGTGGGCAGAGCGGCATGGGAGGCAGGCAGTGGAGCCGACGCCGAGCGGGAGAAGGCAGACGTGGTGCTCTGACCCCGGTGCCCATCCTCACTGCCCTCAGCCCTGCAACCGTCCGCGCCCAAACAGTTGCCGTCCGTGCCCAAACGGTTGCCGTCCGCGCCCAAACGGTTGCCGTCCGCACCCAAACGGTTGCCGCCCACGCCCAAACGGTTGCCGTCCGCGCCCGAACGGTTGCCGTCCGCACCCAAACGGTTGCCGTCCGCGCCCAAACGGTTGCCGTCCGCGCCCAAACGGCCGCCGTCCGCGCCCAGACGGTTGCCGTCCACTCCCATAATGGAGAGGATGGTGGCTGCCCTGAGCCCCGCAGGAGGCATTCCCGGACTCCCTGGTACTTGCACCTTGTGCGGGCTGCCCATGCTGCATGCTGCTGCTGCTGCTGCTGCTGCTGCTGCCGCGGCCGCTGCTGCTGCTCCTGCTGCTGCTGCTGCTGTTGCTGCATCTGCTGGCATTAGCGGGGAGGGCTGTGCAGGGGACGGTGGCGGGGCGCGGGGATATGCTGGTAGCGCGGGGGAAAAAGGGGAGGAGAAGGCGGAGGGGGGAGCGGAAAGTTTTGCCTGGAAGGCTTGGCTGTGGAGAGGTAATAGGCCGTGGTGGGGCGCAGGGGGTGGTGTGGCCGAGCAGGAGGGTGTGAGTGGGGGAGAGGCGAGAATGTGGGGAGAGGAAGAGAGGACGCGAGGAGAAGAGAGAACGTGGGGGGAGGAGCAGGTTGAAGCGGGGAGGTGCGGAGGGGGGTGTGGGGCGAGAGGAGGGGAGCGGAACAAGGCGGGCGCAACGAGGAGGGTGTGGGTGCTGCTGCTGTGGCTGGCGGTGGGAGTGGCGGCAACAGCGGGGGAGGACGGGTTGTAACAAGTGAAGGGTGTGGATGAGGTAGACGGAGTGGAAGGGAGGGAAGGAGTGGAAGGAAGGGAAGGTAGGATGGGAGTCCAAGGGTTTGAGCCGAAGGGATTGATACAGCTGCTGCCATTGCTGCTATACGTCTCCATGCCCCCGCTCCTGGCGCTGATAGTGCCCATCGCGCTAATAGCGCCCGTAGCGCTCATTGCGCTCATGGCGCTCATTGCGCTCATGGCGCTCATTGCGCTCGTACTTATGGCGCTTATGGCGGGGATGAGGGACGTGGGAGTGCGAGGAACGCTGGCGTAGTGATGGGAGGAGCACGGGTTGGGAACGCAAGGGAGGATGTTGCAGGTACCGCCACCTTGCTTCTCGCCTACGCTGACCGCGAAACAGTGCTGGTTGCTGCTGCTGCTGCTGCCGCCGCCACCATTGCTCCCGTTGCTGCATTCGCCACCACCACTGCAACAGCCACCAGCGACATGAGCATAAGAACGCGCAGGAACAGCAGCAGCGGCGGCGGCGGCGGCGGCGGCGGCAGCAGCAGCAGCGCCGCCTGTTGCGCCGGCTTCTCTCTTGCTCGCAGCCGCATCGCGCAGTGCCGGCAGGCCGGCAGGGCTCGCCATGGATCTCGCGTCTCCGTCTAGTAAGCGCGCCCCCATCGCCATGCATTTCGGGGAGCTTTCGAACTTACCATGCATAGTAGCCACAGGTGCCAACCGCGGTGCTACCGCGGACGGCGCTGTTTCTGCAAACGCCGCTGCTCCCCCTGCGCCCGCGAACGCCGCTGCTCCCGCTGTTCCCGCAAACGCTGCTGCTCCCGCTGTTCCCCCAAACGGCGCTGCTCCCGCTGCTCTCCCGAACGGCGCTGCTCCCGCTGCTCTCCCGAACGGCGCTGCTACCGCTGTTCCTCCGAACGGCGCTGCCACTCTGAACGGCGCCGGCGCTGCTCCGTCGCTCTCCGGAAGCTGCGCGTCCCCCGTGCAGGCGGCTTTCCCCTTGAAATCCGCGCGGATCGCTCCGCGCTCGCCGTTTTGGGAGGTCGGGGGAAGCGGGCACGATCGCTTCTGCTGGGGGAACCTGCCAAGGGCGGGAAGGAGGGACGGGAATGCGTGCGAGAGAGAGAGAGAGAGAGAGAGAGAGAGAGAGAGAGAGAGAGAGAGAGAGAGAGAGAGAGAGAGAGAGAGAGAGAGAGAGAGAGAGAGGGAGAGAGAGAGAGAGAGAGAGAGAGAGAGAGAGAGAGAGAGAGAGAGAGAGAGAGAGAGAGAGAGAGAGAGAGAGAGAGAGAGAGGGAGAGAGAGAGAGAGAGAGGGGGGAGAGAGAGAGAGAGAGAGAGAGAGAGAGAGAGAGAGAGAGAGAGAGAGAGAGAGAGAGAGAGAGAGAGAGAGAGAGAGAGAGAGAGAGAGAGAGAGAACGAGAGAGCGGGGGGGACGGGGGAAATGAAGGCCGGGGGGAGATGGGGGGGGAATGGTTGAGAGTTCAGGTTTTGATAACGACGCCTCTTAGCTCTTTATCCACCCTTTCCTCAGCAACCAATCACACTCACCCTCCATCTACCGCCAATTGCGGAGCGATATCCGCCGGGCCGCCTGTTCCGGCCGCCAAGAAGGCGGGCGGAAGTGCGCGCTTCTCGCCCGCAACGAGCCCGGCTGACTCGACGCGCGCAACGACGAGTAACTCGTGGTCTCCGTGCCGCGCAATCGCCGACGGGCTGTGATAACGGCTATGATGATAACTCCCCACTTGAACCGGACTGTCCGACAACAGCGGCGGCGACTGCGGCACAGTCGCACAGTGCGCGTGCATGGATGGGATGGAGTGCGACTCTGGTGCCGACAGGTACGGCGAGCGCGGCACGAGCTGCGACAGTTCGGGCGACGAGGACGCGGACGACTGCGACGGCTGCGACGGCTGCGAAGGCTGCGACGGCTGCGACGGCTGCGACGGCCGCGACGGCTGCGGAGACCGCGACGGCTGCGACGTCGGCGAAGGCTGCGACGCGTGCAGCGCCGGAACGGAGGTGAAAGATAAAGGCCGAGGGAGCGCAGAAAAGGACGAGATAGCGGCGGGGGTCGGGACCGCCGTAGACGGGACGGCACCGTCATGGCCGCCGCAATGTCCGCCGTTACTCCCGCCGTCGCTGTGGATTAGCGCCGCAGGCGTCGCCGCGAGGGATGCCGACAAAATTGGTGAGGACGGCAGAGGCAGTGGCGGGAGCGAGGGGGGGAGTGAGGGGACGGCAGGCGGCGGGAAGAACGGCGTGTGCGCGTCCCACTGGCAGTGGCGCGTTTCGAGGGAGCGCTTGCAGAGGCTCTGGTGCAGCGACGGGGGGAGCGGGCGCATAACGGCTGCTGCGGGACGCGCGCAGACATTGATGGGCGCGGGGGCGGAGGGGATGGTGGGGATGTGGGGTATGGGTGGGGGGAATTGTTGGGAGAACTTCAAGATCGTTGATAGGTTATCGGTTAGCGACAGTGATGCCGGTATGGGCGCTACAACTGGGAGCGCTACTACAGCTGGGGGCACCACAAGTGGGGGCGCGACAAGTGGGGGCGCTACAACTGGGGGCGGTATTACTGGCAGTGCCAACTCGCGGCTCGCGGCGGGTGTCGAGAGTGCTGACGGTGGCAGCTGCGCGGCTTGTGGCGGAATTGCTTGAGACACAATGTACGGCAATTGCCTTGAATGTTGCGAATAATGCGGCGAGTGATGTGGCGGATATGGCGAACGCGGGACTGCTGGTGGTAACCCAGACAGATTAAAGTGGGGAGCGGGGTGTAAGGAAGTGGGCCGCTGCTCGGGAAGGCCGGTGCGACTGACAGCGGCGGACATGGTTTCTTGAACTCTAAGCATTCGGTATCGGAGGAAGGATCAGTAGCTGCGTTTAGTAGCTTCGCTGTCACTTGTAAGGTTCTACAGAATATCCAGAGATATTGATGAGGAGGATATCCAATTATTGGAACTGGGGAGCAGGGCGAGGGGGAAGGGGGGTTGGGAGGGGGCGGTACGGAGATGGTCTTTTACGTCACTGCCTTGCGCTAGGGACTGGGGGAGTGCTTACATGGGTGAGAGTATCTTACGAAAAAGGGGCGCCTGATACTAAACCCAGGGGTCCTGAGGAAACAGAGTTGGCAGCCAGAGGCAAATCGATGCGATCCGAGTGCGTCACTGAATAGAACCTACTGAGGACTGGATGCAGGAAATTGACAAGCACAGAGTCAAGCGATATGGGAAATAAAAAACGCATTTGCAAACAGCGTGCCGGAGTCCAGTTCGAGGAGGGCGAATGTGCTGGTCACAGTTGGTGTTTGGAGTAGATGGCTCGTGCCATCAACAAGCATGCTGCCGTGTTTGGGATGGGATGGGAGAGAAGAGATCGGAGCGATAACGGGCCAGTGGGGAAGACCGGAGAATCTGAACGAGCCACCCCAGCGCTTCGATCCATTTACAGTAGTTGGTTCTGTTCGGTTTCCAACGACGCGATCTATGATATTTTCGTGCAGATATTTTACCCACAGATACAGTACGGCACTTTAGGCGAATCTGGCTTGCTTTGGATTGTCCAGGCTCCCACTGAAAATGGTCCCATTGTGGTTACCCTTCAAATGCAGTTATTTTTCAGAGGGAACCCAATCGTTTCTGGGCCTGTTAACTCCGACCCGGCCATATCACATTGGCGAAACATCTTGGGCGTGGTGTCAAACTCTGCATTCGTTTTTACGTCCTCTCTTAGTCCGTACTTGGCATTCATCAACAAAAATATATTGAGTTCCCAGCACCCTAGACTGCAGTATTTCTTAAACCACATTGCCTAAGTAGAGGAGACCTCTGACGCACACTCCGAGTCTGAAAACGAATGCACTGTTTCAAGACTGTCCCGCAAAAATGAGGCGTGAAATCGCTACTTAGATCCATCAAGTGTCTGCATGCAGGAGCTGGATAATCACAAACTACTTGACAACAAAGCTGTAACTATCCTGTTTTGAGCCGTATGTTTCTGCCCACTAACCCGGACCTTCAGAGTGGGGAACCCTGCTTGCACCCACACACACTTGCCTGCCTTGGCTGGTCCTCCACACCACATCTCACAGGAAATTGGAGGACCCAAGAGATGTGGCTCGTGGAATTGTGACTCAAAGTTTGGGCAGTAGGTTCGGATGTGGGAGGTCTTGGGACGGGGGGTGTTCAACGTGAGAGATGTCTTTACAAGGTGTCATGCGACCCCGGTTTGTGTCATCACCGTCATTTCGACGGCTGTACGACGGTTCGTCCATGCGATGTCTGCGGTCGCGAGATGTGACATTGCAAGCTGTAAGTGAGAAACAAGGTACATTTGTTGTGCTCTGTGACCGAGTTGACAGCCCTTCGATGGGGCGCCTAGATTGCAAGTCCTCGCAAATACCGGGCATGCGGTCGAGTTTGTACTGTAACAACCTTTCGAATACGGGAGGTGTACAAATGTGACGGCTCCGTCGCCTCCGGTTCACATTCCTTTCGCCTTCACACCACAGCTGGTAAGTGGCTTCTTCTGACAGACATCACCAGCGTTGGCCAGCTCTGCAGGAGTCAGGGTGATTATTTCTGTTCCATCACTTTTTTCCCTAAAGTGAGAATCTTGCATTACCCTGCTACAACGGACTTCGACGATGACAATGCTCGTCAGGAGTTTGAATTCACCCTACAGTTTCTGTGTACGCAGATATGAAGATCCAGCCTTGATAAACTCGCCTAATTTGTCTTACTTAAACGTAATTCGTGAAGTGGAAGAAGTGGTGGTAGAAAGTTCCAAATCTTTGAAGTGTTGGGAGCTTCGATTCGCCCAAATGTTGTGACGAACAGGATGGAACTTTGGAAGTGTTTCACACGCACACACACACTCACACACGCACTCGACCCGTCATGATAAACAAATTCCCTCTTCTCCTTCTAGCATTCACCACTGGCACAAAACTACGAAAGCTGCTTGCTTAGTTCACAAAAGTCTACTTTTGAGTCGTAAAACAAAACGCTGGGTCCACTGCAATTTCTTTAGTGCCGCACCAGGTACCTTTGAGCTGGGTCGCAACTCTAGCAGGGGGGCCCAAAACAATCGAGGACCCTGCCAATAGCTGTCACGACTCGCGAGTTGAGAATCCAAGCCCGAAAGTCAAGGTTTTCTCCCTCGTTTCCAACACTACTGTACCGCAAGCTGACTGGAGATTCTACTAGGATGGTTCCTCCAAGCACCTAGTAGGCTTGGAGTTCAAAGCATTTTTTTAACTGTTATTCCACTAAGCATTTCGGGCAATACACAATTCCGCACTTTGGGATCTCCGGAAACTACAATTTAGACCGATTGCGCAAAAGCAAGGGAACAAAGAACTGCATTGCATTGTATTGCACTGTAAAAAAGGCGGTGCAGCGGCAGGGTGGATCAGCCATCTTCTCCCATCACAGGCTGGCCCCCCTATCAACCAAGCCATTTCTTCCACCTCGATCCTGCCCTTTCTCCCCTACCAATCTCCCGCTTGCCCTTTCTCGAAACCCACACCCCTCGGACGGACCCCCCAGAACCACGCACCAGACCAGATGCGCGCTGCCTTGGCCCTCACCCCAGCCAATTCTGTTGTACACTTGCATCATCACTGTACATTCGAACTGCGCAGCGCGCTCGTGCGGAATTACCATACCAAGCCTCCAAGAGAGCGACAACACGTCCAACTGCAGGATTGCGTTGCCACATGCAGCCCACGATTTTTAGTTTGGATGCTTGAAGTTCGGAGATTTCGGGCAGCGGCAACAAGAATATCCATCTACGTTCTCTTTAGTGCAGTCAGCTGACAAACATGGTCGATGAAGTTGTTGCGGAAACATCAGCTGGGTGTTACGAGTGCAATCGAGTGAACGAACGAGAATTGCACTATCTAAGCAAGAATACAATGAGCGAAGGCATGAGCGAAGAATATATAGCGAAACTACAGTGGTAACGGTAATGGACTGTGGTTGTCGCGTGACGGGCCTGGAACTGAAGTTGGGAAAAGTGTCGAAGCGAAGGCCCGGAGCGCTGGCTACCCGCCGAGCCGTGAGGTCGGGGTGCGACGTGCAAAGGTGGCGGGAGGATTGTCGATGCGAGAGTCGCGAGTGGTAACGGTGCTGACTGTGGTGCTACAGTGGTCTACGCGCTGAGCGGGGACGCCAAGTAAGGAAAAGGAAGTTTTCCTTACACTGGGTCATATTGACGAATTTTGTGGATGCCTTCATTCTACAAATGGACGTTACAAAATGATATTTTTAGAAAGTGTGTAACACTTTCTAAAACGGTGTATTGTGAAAGCGCATCTGACTGAAGCGCAGCTAGGCAACTGCGAATTACCATTCGCCGATGTTACGATGTGAAGTTTTATGAGAAGGCATTCCTGTATGCTGCAGGAGCCGACTCTACCGAGTACGAAGTTGAGGAGTCAGAAGGGCCGAAGCGACGCAGCAACCGTCAGACCAAGACCGATGCAGGCAGAAACATTTGAAGGGAAAAGAGCGGGAACAGGTTTTGAACGGGTTCCCGCGCCGCACGGTTTTAAATTCAGTTGTAATAAGGGAATGTACCCCTTAGAGTACATGGCTAGTCTAGGTCCTTTCGTATTCCCTTGTACTCTTATATAAACTCGATGTATGCATGCTATTATCAACTCAGTCATTTACATTCACTCTGACATGAGGTTCAAACTTCCGCTGCAACACTACTCCGCGATCAACCCTGAGCGATCCTTTGCTAAGTCCCACTTGGGATTGTAACATGGTATGAGAGCTACTCATGGATTCTTCGCAAC